GCTGAAGGTAAAGGTTTTTTACATGTCTCTGTGAGATCAAGTGTGCTGTGACACCTTCTCTATTGTGAATGCTATGCAACAGCACCTTGCCATGAGGTATGTGATTCAGTATAGTTTTGCATTATCTTCAGTCAACACAAATTTAGTGCAATTATAATGATCATTTCCTGTAATATAGCAGGTATCTGAATAATGGACCTGAATTTCCATTAGAATGAGGTTATAAAGCACGAAATCATTAATAGCAGAGCAAGTGCTAGAACCGCATCAGGCAGAATAATCTCATTCTCCAGAATATGGAGCAACCACCAGTGAAAACTAGTAACGGCCATGGGGATATCTTTATGGTTAGACTGGTGCAAGTGCAGAAGCAATGATTTAGTCTCAGGATTAGCTACTAGACTCATGAAGTTGTCTGCAGAATTTTGTGAGACTTAGTGCATGAGATATCTATGATTGTTCATGCTTAATGGCTCAGTTTTTGACTGCCTTGGCAGACTTCACTTTCTTAAAACAGAGGAAGGCAAAAGTGGTATTTTATTTGCACTCATGGCTGTAACAGCAGGAGAGGAGTTAGCAGACAGAGTAAGTTTCTATTTAAAAGTTATTAACTATGTGAATAAATGTTAGTAATAACAATTACCATAACAGTGGTGATGGTTCCTGATAACCAAATTGTATGGTTCATTATAACCATTTGCTGGTTTCTTATAACCAAATTGTAATTATAAATAAGATTTATAATGAATGACAAAAGAAATCTGAGACTCAAGAAGGAAGATAATTTTTGAAACAGTAAGGAGCAAAAGAATATGTCACAGTCACGAACACTGCATCATTTGCAAAAATGTACTTTCTGTGCATTTATAATTTTTTTATTATTACGTTATTAATGTTCAACTAGAACTAGTCTCCTGTTCTGTTATAAAACTCTGTTTGAATTTGGCTGGTTGCAACAGAGCTGCTCTTTTTTTGCAACAGTAGAATAAAACCTACTGAAGAGGAAGAAAGCTCCCTGCTTTGAGTTGGGTTTTGTTATTATCAAGTGTAGTTTCCAGTCTTGAATTGTCTTTTATCAGTCCTGCTCCTGGATTGTTCCACAGACAATCCCAAGTCTTTCTATAACTGTTTTCAGAACGTGATGTGGCTTAAAAGCTGGTGGTTGTGCTCTAGCTGTCAAATGAATTACCTGAAGTGGACTCCTAGGCAGTAAATCTTAATAGACACGTAATTTCAGGTTATATTTGATATGTTACTGATAATTAAAAGCATATCTGAAAAGTGATTAGTAGTGATTTGTTGTTTACACTGCAGAATTTTAAAATGCTGTGTGAAGAAGGGGAAAAAGTAAGCTGGTCATGCAGTAGTTAGGCTACATAACAGGAGTCTTGAGTGAAGAGCAAGTGTACAAATGCCCAAGGAAGGACTGCTGAGAGCCAATATTGAAATTAGACCCTGAAACCTTTGAATGTTTTTTGTACAGCTGGAATAAATTCTGTCATAAGTGAATGATTTCTCTGCTACAATTTATTTGTGTTCCAAAGATGATTACATGAGGAAAAAAAAAATCAGTGATGTATAAACAAGTCTTGGTATGTTGTGTGGATGCCTGTGGATTCAAGAGTAAGTTAAGAGCAAAGTTTATCTTAATGATTTGAAAGCAAGGCAGTAGTTACTTTTATCTTAATGATTTGAAAGCAAGGCAGTAGTTACTATGTGGCTCACTTCGAAGTGCCTTGAAAGAAACCCTCGGGGCAAAACCCTTTTCATACAGGCTTGTAAACTGTGAGCCTAGAGCCCTCTAGTGTTAGCGGTGCTGTAATATACGTTAAATATCTACACTAGTATAGTTCAATGTGACCTGCACAGTATTCTGATCTGTGTCAATAGAGAGCTACCAAGCCAATCACTTTCTTCCACCTAATTGTTTATTGACTTTATTATATACCTACGGTTTAAAAAATTGGCAATTTATTTTTGAGAGAGATAACTGATCTCATTCATCCCAATTTTTAGAAACATTTACTTTGGAGCTATTACCCAGACTGTGTCAGCAATAACTCAGAGCAAAGACAGATACTGTGTCAAGGAAAATTGAGGAACCTAGTCTACTACATCCACTGCAACTCCCTGATTTTCACTTGTTCCGTGTCTTGTTTCAGGGAGTCCCTGCAAGTCCTTCCACTTGCTTTTTCATGCTCAAATTAAGTTGTCTCCTGTTCTCCCTTTCTTGAGTTGAGGGTTCCCACTTGCTCTTTCCCAGCACTGGGACACTGATCCTTCCTTCTCCAAGGCAGGGTCTCCAGTACATCCTCAGCTACAGGTTCTGCATGCATCTATGGTTTGCCTTGGCTTGTGTTTCCCTCCTTTGTTTCCTTGCCTTCCTATCTTCCCATGCCAGGACCAAAGTCTGTCCATTCCTTTGCTTCTCTCTTTTTTTTTTTTTCTTCTTTTTTCCTTATGTCACTAAACTCTAGATTGGTTATCACCTCTCAGTCTTACCATGTGCCACATATGATGTGTTTCTCATTCCCTTCTTCTTCATCATATTAGTTTTCCCTCTTTCAGTGAGTTGTATGAAGTAGCTGGAAGTACAGACTTAATACAGAGTTTTCCAGGGTAGAACATAGCTGCTCGGATGTTGAGATACAGGCTTTGCATGGAAAAACAACTAATGATCTTGAAGCAACATTCAGAGAATCTGAACATTCAGAGAATCTGTTTTTTTCACAGGGTTTACCCATGGACAAGAAGCTGTTCTGGACCAAAGAAGTGTTTAATAACTGATTTTATGTTATAGACAATCTCTTTTCCCTTCTGCAGAATAAATGGGAGAAGAATAATTTCCTAGCACGCCTGGGAAGGACAGAGCATCTGTCACTTGCTGGACCAATCATGAATTCAGTAGTAATGCTGCATGGGGAAGCCTGGTGGGTTAGGTAGAAAGGAGGGAACAGAGCAGTATGAGCCTGGGGCCTCACTGAGAAGCAGAAGATCCTAGGGACTGGAAAAACTAGAGTGAAGTAACAATTTGTCAACAGGAAGCAGGGAGGAGGTAGGGATTTTTGCCAGTGAAAAGTATGACCTTACTAGTGATCCTCGGGGATAACACAGTGCTCACCTCTGAGTGGGGGAGTATAGGGATTGTTATTGTTCTGTGAAAGAGAAACAGGTGAGAAAGCAGCCTAAGCTGCTGTGGGGCACCCACAGAACGCTGATGATGTTGTGCTGTTACTCTCTCTACTGAGCTGTCCAAACCATAAGCTAGGAGAAAGGTCATAACTTTTAATTTTTTACTGTTTCCCCTACTGATCCTAAAGCAGTCATATATAAATTGTGTAAAACATGTTGCTTGGTGTTATACAATCTACAGTCAGATCTGTGGTGGCTGGTTCAAAGTATAGTGTAACTAAAGCTGCGTAGTAACCTGTCAAAATTTGTAGATTTACAACAGTGCAATTTCGGGTTTGAGATTTATGTATGTAGCAGTGGGCTCTAAAATATGAGACTAACTGGTTTGGAATATTTTGGATAGTTTCTGTATGTCAGTTAAAGGACTTTCAAAGCTACAAAATATGTACAGGCTCAAATATGTGCTTGCTTACTGGAAGCTCAGTAATTGATAGCATCTGAAGTGATGTCCTTGGAACACTTCCAGTATTTGCTTTTGAGTGTTGTTTAAAGCAGTATGAAAGCTCTGTAGGGCATTAGGTACCACAGTCTAGATTGACTTTTGACCTGGAGCTATTCAGAAATGGCTTTAGTGGGATGGGAAGCAAATATTTTACAGGGCCAGCAACTCTCATGTGAGGAATTCAGTGAAAATTCAAAGAAGACATGCTGTAAAATGCTTAAAATTTATTCATAATCATTTTTCATAAGGAACAAAAATAAAACAATATTCCAAAATAAGACAGGAGAAAATATACCACACCCAGATAACATGACTAAGAAATGTGATAACATTAATTCTGAAAGAAATGACCCAAGAAATCAATTTTCCAAACCCAAAATAAATAGCAGTGGTTCAACTTTTTAAAGTTTCCTAGGAACGAATTTACATATATTATTATTATTATTATTATTATTATTATTATTATTATTATTATTATTATTATTATTATTATTATTATTATTATTATTATTATTATTATTATTATTATTATTATTATTATTATTATTAACTTCTGTTTAAAAAAATCCTTCATATGCCCCTGTTGGCAAAAAAAAAAATATATATATATATATACTTCTGTAAACAGTTAACCACAAACAAAAAAATGTCCATATTTTCATACAGTTACTATGCTGATGGTGTTATGTAAACAAAGAGTAGTGTGCAGCAGCTTCTCATGATAAGATTTCTTTCTTTTTCTCACAAGAATATATAAGGAAATATGCCCATCATAAATTGTTCAAAACATGGAAGTTTACAGTTTTGAGAAGGTATGGCTTTCATCAGTCCAAGTTTTCCTTAATGCAAAAAGAAAAATAAAGTAACAGAGAGGTACAGTTTTCCTTGGGTTTTGATTGTTTGTTTGTTTTCTGGACTTTAGCTTTTGATTTGTATCAATGAACTGAAATGAAAATGTATAATAAAGGTCAGTCTACGTCAATGGAAATATTAGATAGTGTCAAGTGTCTATATTATGCCACCACAGGCAAGCTTCAAGTCAGAAAAGAATGCTGTTCGCATAATAAACTTTGTGCAAGCGTAAATCCAGTTCTCAGTGTTATGGTACAGCACTTCTCAGAAGACAAACAAACAAACAAAAAATGTCAAAATGACCTTATGCTCTACGTCTCAAGGTGTAAAAGAAAAGACATGAAAAACAATGGGAGATATATTGGTAATGAAAACTGAAATAATGTAGACAGATATATTGAGTTTGTATGTAGAAAATGTCATCCAAAATTTTAGCTGCTTTTGACATTTTGGTATTTTTCAGTCTTTTTTTTAGTCTTATGTTCAACCCTTGTTTGACGACTTCTTTCTAGTTCTAATTTTTGATGTTCACTTGTTCCTGAGAGGTCTTTATCCCTTTTACTGTCTGTTGCATGATGTCTTGGGGAATGCAATCAGCACTCACACAGCTGCATTTCTCCACATAGGTGTATGTGTGGTCAAGGTGGGTTCCATCACTGCATGTCAGAGTCACCTTTCTTTGGCTGGTCTTGATTTCCTGACAACATGAGCATTTGTGTTCCATCATGTTCGCCTCTGGAGAATATCTGATCGCAAAACCAACAAAATAGAAAGATTCAGAAATTATGTGAAAAATACCACTGTCCCTCCCACTCATTACTAACTATAACCAGAAGTAGTCGTGTTTACATGCGGGACTATTGTTTAGTATTACCATTCTTACATAATTGTGGTGAAACATAAGTATGTTGCTCCTCATTGTAAAAATGGGTGGACCTAGCTCTTCATTAAGGCATAGAAAAAGTAAATTAATTAATCCAGATCATTTAATAAGCCAGTCCAAAATGAGAAAATATTGAGAACAAATAATCTAATTTTTACATGGGCAAAATCAAAACTTGGGTCTATTCACTATGAAACTGAACAGACTGTTAAAACACTGTGAGTCTTGAGGTAATTAAGCTATATCATGTCTGTTAAAAACTCTAGTTAGCACAATGGAAAGATCTGGTGGCTGGGTGAATGTTGGACGTGCTGGAAAGTCACTTGGGATTTGCTTTATGTAACTAGTGTAAAGAGTAGAAGACAAGAGACCACAATTATTGTTTATACCACTTACCGTGCGTAAGCATCACAGCTGCCTTCACAGTATGTCATCTCAACAGGTGCAGGAGATACACATCCATTGTATTTGATGACAGTAGCAGTACTGTGCTTCATACAACCTGAGGTTGTCACAAACCAAGGGAAAATAGGTTAAAATCGATATGCATAGAAAAATGATTGACAGTTTGTAGTAGAAAACTGAGATGGATGAAGCTGAAATAGGAAATTAGGTCACAGTGCATTTCTCTTTTAGTTGCAAAGGGCAAATGATGACTCTTGCTGCTTGTGTTATCAATGAATTAAAAATTCCCTTTTGCTTATGCAACTTCGGTGCAGGATGCAGAAATAAAGAGCAGTATTGTGGCAACTGTTCAATGCACACACATCCCAGGACTGGCTTCACTTCCTTCCTTAAAGAGAACGTATCTATGGAAGTTGGACAATAGTCACAGTCCTCTCCCTCCCACACACAGGCTAACATGTGACAGCAGGGGACAGGAAAGTTCACCGTAGCCACCTATTCCAAAGCCCTTTGAGTGTGTGCTGGAAATGTTCTACTCTTTTTCCACCTGTTTCCTTTCTCACCCCAGTGTAAGGCAGCCGTCCCAAACTTGGACTGTTCACCTCACCTGTCTATACATCCACCATGCAGGATGGACTAATATACCTAACAGGGCACATATTATCATTACTTACTCTTCAGATTTGTTTGGCACTCTTTACAGCAGCCATCGTCAGAAAGCTTGATGTCATCCTTGAATGGGAAAACAGAAAAAGAAAACTCAGGTTTCATAGCTGCATACTAAAACAGAGACTTTCTCTGCTTCCTAAATTTGTCTGGCACCAGAAAGTTTTTTGCATTGACATGAAATCTACTTTCAAGCAAGGCTAAATATTAAGGTCACATATCTATTTCAATATTAGTAAGAGTTCTTTGAAAGCTGACATTGAGGGGGATGGGAACTGCTTTGCTGCCATCAGAGTTCAGTAGTAAAATTTCAGAAATAAACTTGTAGCACATGTGGGATATTTTGAGTGACCAATGTCAGTACAGGTGAAGGATTATATCAGGCAGGGTAACACAATTAGTGAAATAACTGACTCCCCAGATGTGTGGGGCTGGTTCTAATCTACCCTGAGCTGTATTAAGTTGAATGATGTTGTCAACTGAAGTAGCTTATTTTCCTGCACCTTTACTCTCAATAAGTGAACTCTAAAAAATAATTTATAATCTTAAATATTTAGGGAATAAAAATCCCATTGGTTTTCAATAAGTTTATTGCTATGGGTCACCTGACACTTTTAGGAATCCAAAACATTATGCTGCACCCTTTTTTCTAGTGCCTGATCCTCAATGAGGATTGATATATCCCCCATTTTAATCTTGATTTATTTTTCTGAAATGAAATTTGATGGGAACCAGATTCAGAGAGGATAAAATGAGAGCTACATCTGGTGTGATGCTTCTGCTGGGTATTTTCCTTGGACACAATGATCCTTCTATCACCAGTGTTAGCCACTGTAAGCTTTTCAAACATGAGAACTGGTAGAAGAGTACTTACTGGATGACAGTCATCAGGGTTAAAGTCAGGACAGCTTTTCTGTAAGATGACTGGAATGAACTGGTCATCATATTTTTCACATGTGTAAGTTGTACAGTTATCACCAGGTACGTTCCAGAATTCTCCAACCTGAAACAAAAATTCAGTTAAAATTAAACTGAACATAAAAATGAAACACACACCCTCCCTCTCCCCTCCCAATATCTTAGCATTGCTGGATACTGTGATTTGGTTATTCCAAACAATCTCCTTGAATTTGAGCTGGTAGTTACTTGTCATATTCTCATACTCCTCTAAGTCTTTTTCATTAACCAAGTGAAGAGGCTGCATTTTGATCTGGATATGGACATGCTTTTTGTGTGAACAGGATAAGTATGTGGACTCATTTGGAAAGATTAAGTTGTGTTTCAATGGTTTTGTCTTCAGAATTTATGGGTATGTCTATTTGGATCCATGGCAGAATTTCTGCTGGCTTCACTGGCTCATCCTGTCCTACAGCTCTCAACTAACTTGAGATTGGTCGGGTGGAGCAGAAGACTGCCTCCACGGATAAAACTACCCTCTAAGTAAAATGGGTGTTATATTTTCAGAACTGAAGGCAAATAAGGGCCCATTGCTTTCACCTGTGTATTTTTCTATGTTGATTTCTGAAAGCTATTGCTCAGTATCACAATTTCTTCCAGAAATCTTACTTAGAACTGGAATTTCATGGCTCAGGGAACTGTTCAAGCTGTGTGACAGTCCATTCCCTGCCTGAATAAGCGTTTGTCTAACATGAGAAAAGGTGCAGTAAAGAAACATGACAAAGACAAGGAGAGGAAAGAGTGAAAAGACTAGCAGAGTTCACAAAAAATGAACTAAACCAGGGATAGTTACTTTGAGCACGTGTGTAGTGTTGTCCCCCACAGTCACTACACAAGCCACTGCCTTGCAGATGCCGCAGCACTGTCCAGGTTTCTCTGTATACTTATAACCCTGGTTTGGAAGAAATAGAAAATGAGATTGAGTCAGGACACTGACCTTAACTGGTGGATATTTGAGCTGAGTGGGGTTACTAACTACTAATTACTAATTACTAACAGCAAAGCAGCACTCACCGCCGGGCAGTGTGTGTCACAGATAACAGGCTCGCACTTGACAGTAGCATGGTGAGGGTTTGAGTAAGAGGATTCAGAGCAGGTGCATTCTTCACAGGGGCCTGATGGAACAGCAGCTCCAGGCTAGGGGAAGTCAGGAAAAAAGTCATTATTAGTCAGTAAAAGCAAGTTACTTTGTTACGTACATCGCAGATAATACAAAGCTGAACTATGTATGGGCTAAGGTATCCTTAAATACAATTTTGGTTGTTTTATTTAAGCAGAGTTTCTGTTGTGTGTGATATCAATTTTGGAATTAAATTCTGCTCATGCAGAAAGGCGAGTAGGAAATAGTGTTGCTTGTAAGGAGGGGGTGATATGCTGATCTCAATTAAGTAATTAATAATGTTTTATCTCAGGCCTTTCTGCAAAATGTGGTCTATGGCAGAAGCCTCAAAAACACTGCATTGTGAACCTATGTGAAGGTGTATTGTTATAGTGAGTTACTCTGTGTACTTACTGCATAGTAGGTTTCATTGACTACACAGCCATGCCCTGTAAAGAAAGAAGAAAGGTGGTGTCATAAAGGTGTAAGTTTTAAGAAGCAGAAGCATGTGAAAAAATTGCTGCTTTGTTGTCCCAGTATGGTAACACAAATAATTTGCATCTTTCTCTTTTAAGGTTTTTATATTCACAAACTTAGAAAAATATAGCTGTGAATAACACATGAAGAAGGTGCATAGTACTTACTGCATTCAAAGGTAGGACAGCATTTTCCAGGCTGCAGAATTGTGACTACTTCCTGTCCCTCTAAGCACTGGGGGGTGACCTCAGGGCAGAGGCTAGTGTTGCAGTCTAATGTAAGAAAATATAGAAAATAATGGACTCAGAATTTTAAAATGAAAATAATTTTATTTTGCATGAACTTCATAAGTTTTCCCATGGGGCAAATACAGTTTTGTTTACACAAGCTAGTACAATGACTAATTCAGTATATTTGCCCAGCTATTTTTAAAGTGAATGTGCTTTTCTATAACCTTTGCAAAGCAAAGCAAATCATTGTCTGAGAATAGAGTGGTGATTGCTGCAAAGAGATACTTCCAAAGTGAAATTTGTACCAGTTGGGAAATCTGATGACTCTCAGAGGTTGAGGAACATTCTTGTGCAATTTTTAAATGTTCAAGACCTTTTTTTTAAGATAAATATTTTTTTTTTCATACTGGTCTTTGAAACCAGAAACGCTCATAATATTTTTTGAATATTTTTTCAGGGTGCTGGCAGCATTAAAGACTTTCAGTGTTAAAATATAGGGCATTTCCTGTTACTTCTATGTGTCTAACTATGTAAAATATTTTAATCTTTAAATTTGATCTCTTCAGGCATCTAGTAAATGCTCTGCAAGAAGGTCCTAAGTGGGATGATGGAGAAAAGCATTATGAAATCAATGCAAAGTATTAAAAAAAATGAGAAGTTATTGCTGCAGTTCCCCGAAAGAAATATAATATATTCCCATGATAAAGAACTTAGTACTTACAGCACTCAGTCCTGGTACAGCATGGATCTTCTGGTATCTGTATCTGAACAGGCACGTAACCTGGCTCATCGCAAAATACTTGCTGTGTCACAGAACACTGGTGTTTTGTACAGTGCACTTTAAGGGTATTTTTGTCACAGACACATTCCTGGCAATCTTTTGTCCATTTTTCCCCTGGCTATGTAAAAAAGAAAAAGAAAAAAGAGGAAGAAAAATTATATAAAAATTCAAACAAAAACAATTCTATTTACTTCTAGTTAACTTATTCATGGATACAGTGATACCTGATTATATCAGCCTTTACAAATTTCTAGCATTTTAATATTTTATAAGAAATCCTCAAACTGAAGCTAATTATGGAAAGATACTGGAGACCACTGAAGGTTCTGAGCTTTTTGACACAGCTATCACTTTATCAGTAGTGTTACTATGAGGGATACAAGAGGTCTAAAGGAGGAGTGATGGAGGATGCATTTTTGAAAAAAGAAAATATCATACCTCATGCTCGTTTGCACATTAGGGTACAGAGAGAAATTTCTACAATTTGTATGCAGCTGAGGGACTAAAAATTCAGAGTGCTAATGTTATCAGCAACAGGTAAACTTTGTTATACATCTGTCCCTTCATCTCTATTAATTTTAGTGAGCCAAATTTTTGGAAATAAAAGAAGCACATATGCCGAAGTTCCACTACTACCTTCTATCTCTTTTTATTTCTTTTTTTTGTTTGTTTGGGTTTTTTTGTTTGTTTCAGTATATGAGGTGATGATTATTGAAAGAACATCCATCAATTACCATTAAATTTTTTAGGGAATAATGTGGTTTCTGCTCTGGCACTCATAATTATTTTTAACACTAAGAGGGAATGAATATTTGAAAAAAAACTAAAGTCTCCCCCAACCTAAGCAAGGCTTTATTTTTGTGTGCTTCACTTGTCTGTACTTGATAAACCACACTGGTTGTGATACTCACCAATCTGGATACTCCATTTGGTTCTCTACAAGCTGGAAAAAAAAAAAAAAAAAAAGATGGAGATTTGCACCACTGAAAACTGACGTAAAGGAGTAAATTTTTGCAGTTTCAAATAGAAATACCATGAAGATAAAACAAGAAAATAGATATGAAGGCTAGTTCTGAAATGTAGGCTTCTACTATCTTGGTAGGTCCCATGTAAGAAAGGAATACAAAAAAATTATAATATCGATTATTACTTGATTTTTAAATGTGGAGACTAAAGGAACTTAAACGAGGTTAATCTGCCCATCATCTGACCATGTAGAAGGTGGCAATAGAACACAGGCCTCCTAGCAGTCCTGATCTCCCTTTATTCCCCAAACTAACTACAGATTACTTACAGCATTCAGAGACACAGATGTTGCTGTCTACACTCAGGAGTGTCTTTCCTTCAGGACAGAAACATCCTTCAGTTACTCCATAGCCAGGAAGTTCAACAGAGCTAGAGTGGGAGGAATGTATGTATTTGAGTATAATGGTTTTGCAGTGAAGCAGGAGAGAGAGCAGCATATGTAGGTCACCATGTCAGATACAAGGGAGACAAAAAATTTACATTTTTTGAAGTGCAACAGGAAGTGCATATTCATAGAGCTGGTTGATATTTATAAATCATGAATAAATTATCCAAATTCACAAGACATTTTATTATGATCTCCATTTGCTAAGGAAAGTAGATAGGTAAAAATAGAAAAAAAATAAAAATATAAGAAGGTGTTTTGGAGTGGGTTTTTGTTTTTCCATACCTTGGGTCACAGACAGCAGGGTTAATGGGCCCACATGGCTTGTATATTGTGCTTTCTGGACAGTTGTATGCTGTATGAAAAAGAAGAAAAAATAAAAAATTGACAGATGCATTTTTTGCAGCAAAAATGACTACAGCTTTGCCTTCTTCATCTGCAGCTTCTGTGAGTAAGGAAGTCGCTGTATTTTTGTAGACAGTAGTCAATTGTTAGATGTAAAAGGTGTTTACAGAATAAAACACTAATTACTACCATTTCTCACACACATTTTTGAGTTTTGCAATACTTACGGCATGTATTGTTGGTCTTTCCTCTCCAGTCAATGCAGACACCTCTAGCAGCACACTCTGTAGCATATATCTCCAAACTGGAGCACTGCACAGATACATCATCTATGCGACATCCATCGAAAACACAGCCTTTGAAAAATGGTTCTGGTGGTATCACAGCATGGCATTCTGCAAAAATCCTGCAGACAGAAAAGAAACCAAACCCTTTTATGTTAACCAGTCATTGTATAAAATTTGTTCCTCTCAGACAGCACTTTCCAGCTAATGGCAAGTGACTCTCTGCTTCAGGAAGGAATGTATTACAAGATACAAAACCCTAAGAGTGGACAATAATCTGGGAGATAGATTCAGGAAAGGAAAGGTTACGGAACTTGAAGCTCCATTTTTTTTCTAGAGAGGCTAATGATCACAGTATTTCTGTATGCGTATACAACTTTTCCTTAGTCTGACACCAGCAATTTAATGAAAAAGACATCTTCATCAGATTGAGGAAAAAAGGGATGATAAAAGTAGCAGAGAGATAGAAAAATTTCACATAAAAATATCTCATAACTTCTTAGACTCTACAGCAAGCATATGTAAGAGGGCCTTTATAAGTGAGCCAGCTGGAAAAAAGCTTTTGTCACAGCTCACACAAGCATAGGAAATACTGAAGAAGACAAGCCTTTGTGGTTTTAGAGCTCCATGTTTTACATAAAATGTACAAAGAATGAAGGACACTTTTTGGCTGAGAAGTTTCTATCTGCTTTGTTAGCCTGGTTGGTAACCATGTTCTTTATGGTTTGTACCGAAAGCCCACTTCAAATTTAGAGTTCAGTCTTTACTTAATAGTGTAACTAAGAGTGAGTGAGCATACCCTGGAAGGTGGGGAGGGAGAAAGATAGCATAAATCTGTGTGGTTGCAATCCAGGGAGTATGGATTTTAGCGTTTGTTGCATCCCTGATTTTCTGACTTCACCTCTTCTTGCTCAGTTATCTTTGTCATGCATGTTGCTAAAAAAGAGCCATTTCTTTTGCAAAGACCTTTTACTATATATAAATATATATCCTGTCACTAAGCTGACATTTTCAGCTATTATCATGTGCTTGGACTATAGTTGTTACTCTTTTTATAAGATACTGAGATAGTTTTGTCTAGAAAGAGTGAATTCATTCAGGTTTTTTTCCTTACTTGCTCCAGATTAGCTTGCAGAGTGGAGGTATTTCACACTGAGGCTTTGGTGAAGGTGTGGTTACAGCTGGTGGTATTGGTACTCCATGGCATGATGTGTCATTGCCAACGATCCAGTGATGAGCCATTTCGGGACAGGAAGAAATGATCTTACCACTCGGTAAGCGGCATTCATCTAATTCATTATTTGTACATGTTCCTGGAAGAGACAAACTATGTAAGTCTCATAAGCCACACCAGAGATGCACAATAATACACTGTTGTGCTGATATCATGTTTAGACGTGATATGCACATGAAATGTATAAGGTGTCTTGTTTCATAGGGAGTGCTTTCTTTACAGTTCTATGATCTTTAATTTTGGTTAGGGAGAAACAAGCAAAACTAAAAACCTATCACCAAAGAAAAAAATGAAATATGAAAGATGAAATATTGAGTTTTTGATCCTACAGAAGTTGAAGAGCAGATGTCTTGGTTTTGGCTGGGATAGATGTATTTTTTCTTCTTAGTAGCTAGAATAGAGCTGTGCTTTGGATTCACTATGGGGTTTGGTATGAGAAGAATGCTGATAACACACTGATGTTTTCAGTTGTTGCTGAGATATCAAGGACTTTCCAACTCCTCATGTTCTGCCCGTGCACAGGTGCACAAGAAGCTGGGAGGGAGCATGGCCAGAGCACCAGACCCAAATTGGCCAGTGAAATATTCCATATCATGTAATGTCGTGCTCAGTATAAAAATATGGGTCAGCTGTGAAGGGGGGGCCTCTCTCTTGCTTCTGGGATTGTGATTGTGGGATCTTGGTATTTCGGGATTGCTGACTGGGAACGAGCTGGGTATTGGTCAGCGGGTGGTGAGCAATTGCCCATTTTTCCTTTCTATTATTGTTATTGTTTTATTACAATTATTAAACTGTTCTTATCTCAACCTATGAGTCTCCCTTCACGCCTTCAATTCCCTCCCCCATGCCTCAGGTGGGGGGAGGGCAAGCAAGCGTCTGTGTGGTGTTTGGCTGCTAGCTGGGTCCAAACCATGACAAGAGAACTGTTTTTCATTTCCATTTTTCTGATGTTTAAAAATTTCTGTCAATCATGAGACTGCATAGCCAGAGTGGGTGAGAATAACCACGGCAGGGCAGAGAAAGAGTCCCACCTCCAATTAGTGCATCTGTCTTACCACACTGTCCTTCGGTGTTGTTGCCAAATTTGCTGTATGGGAGTTTCACAGAGAAAATCAACCCACTAAAGGTGATGGTTGCACCAATCTCTGGTATTTCAACAATCATGTTGATGCCAAGTGTGGAGAAAGAGATGCCATCTTTTTTGAAGCCTGGTTTGACAATCTTTTGATTGAAGTACATCTGAATACAGGGTTAAAAGACCCACAACTTCAGAATAAGCACTGGTTCTGTCTGATTGTTTTAAATACTGTATTTTCTAAACTTCATAACCATGCATAACTCCATATTGTTGTGCATCACATCCAATGCCCACTGTCATTGCAATAACAGCATAGAAACACATTAATATCTCAGCTTCTATTTATATATTGCTATAGTATGGTAATAATCTCAGTAGCCTCTACGTACCATGGTTGTGCACAGTGTATGCTAATGCACAGCATTCTAAATCCAGGTATTTTCTTTATGACCCTCATAATTTTGTTTACTGTAAACATTGTTCATATGAAAATGAATTGTAGTTTCATTTAACTACAGCAATATTCCTGCCATTTTTTACATAATACCTTTACTGCAAAATCACATTGTCCCTATACTACATGTTGCTTGGCACTGGAAGAGTTGACTGAATTCAAAATGAAGTCAAATGTCCCTGGTGCCAGTTTTTTGTAGCGGTCATATTTATCTGTTAATCTAAGCTGTTCCATTTGCAGTGTGTATCTTATATGAGCTGAAGAAAGTGGACCTATTTGCTGAGTAAATTTTTGTCAGGAATGATTCTGCAACTTTCTTATTGAATTGGGATAAAGAAAGAGTTAAAACCGTCAGTTACTGTTTTCTTTCACAGGGAATCACTGGATTAGGTGTTTCAGCAAGCTGTAGGTAAGAACTTGGCTGGATCTGTAGGGGGACAATGCATGTTGATACAAACTTTTCCTCCCACCTCTTTGTGTTCTCTGGTCAACTAATGAATTCCCCAGTGTAATAGTGGGACTGACTTTTTGTTTTCACTGGCTTGCCAGCACTAGTTTAGGATCATGAAGGTGAAGTGACACCCCCAGTCACCCATTTTATTCAGCTCTACCTCTGTTCTCAACAGGGAATTGAGGGGGAATCATGTCATGGCTTTGGTGCCTGAAGTTCCCTATGCAGAGGAAGCAGTCCCTAGTCATCCAGCTGATAAGGGTTCCACACCCATCTTCACCATGAGAGAATAATCACGCTTGTGATTTGCATTTGTGTTTCTGCATAATGTGTTTGTTTACATAAGCGAATGGCACAATGCACTAGATTTCATGAAACATGAATCAAGCAGCAGTGTAAGCATTCTTTCAGTCTCCTCTCTCCACCAACTGTATTAGTCTGTTTCCTAGTGTTATTTATATATACACATACATGTATGTAATATATTCATATCTGCATAGTGTTAAGCTGTTTCTGACATTTTGTTCTTAGAAACTGGTGCAAAATTTTTTTCCTAATTATACCTTCTGCCCTCATCAACTCCGTGATAAGATATTCTAACAGACTGTATTTCAACTGAAAATGGGGAAGGCCTATGGAACTTATTTCTTTTTTGCAAAACTAGATAAATAAAAAAAGTGTATTTACCACATTGGTCATCACACCATTCAGGAGTTTACGGGTCAACACCACTTCTGCAGATTTGTAGAAAATAATAATGGATTTAGGGCAGGAAAGTCCATCTCTTGCATCACAGTAATAATTGTCTATATAAACACGGAAGTTGTCATATTTAGGCACAATCTGTTTCACCAAGACGTAAGTGCAGTTTTCAAGGAAAGTATAGTAGATTCCATCAAAAGTAATATAATGAGGATCACCCCATCCACTGCACACACCTGGTAGAGAGAAAATATTTAGAAGATTAGCAGGAAATTTAATGTAGAAGAAAGAACTTAGAAACTGAAATCAATGTACTACAATTCATAGAGCAAACCTAAGAAAACAAAATGCCTGTATAATCTGTGCAAAGTATTGCTTTTTTTAAAAAAGTTTATTCCGTAATTTACTGGTGCTTACATTGACATTCATAGTGGTAACAGCAGCCATCTTCATCAGGTACCAGAATTGCTGGATATTTATTTGCACAGGTAATTTCCTTTACAGGTGGGCAGCGTGTTGGAACTACATCTACCTTGTTGTCTCCCTTACAGATGACTTCGGTACAGTTGGATAATTTGTGACTTTGTCCAGGCTGTAAAATGAACAAAAATTGCTGTCACTGGAGTATGTAAATAGATATGAACTTCACTCATAGTTATAGTTTAATGTTATATTTTTTGCACTAATGGTGGTGTTTGGAAAGGAAATTAATACGCGTTACTTCTCTTCAATTTGTGGTACTAATGCTTTCTAATATTGACTAGAGGTATTCATATTTCTAACAATGATATGCAGGATCAGAAGCTGTTTTATTTTCCAAATCTGAAGTAAAGACTGAAATGAAAATCTTCACTGATAGTACAAATTTGCCAATATTCTTTTTCAGTGATAAAAGGAGATGGAAACCTAAATTCCAGATATTTCCTCTGCATGAAGACCTCCTCTGAGGTTTGGGAGGATAGGTCTTAGGTTAAGGGAACTGATGTCCTTTATGCTAGCCATGTATGCCGTATTTTACTGTCAGCACAGAGAGTCACTATTGAAAAATAAAAAAAAAAAAGAATGTGTGCGGAAGTACATGTAAGAGGGCAGGAGAACATAAAAAGAAACAAGCCTCCACCGTAGCTTATATTTTTCTGTTTTGTGAACAAAAAAAATGCACAAGAAAACTTCCTATATTACATCAGTAAGAAGGTTAGTTATTTATGCATTGTAGTGCATTAGAAAGCGTTTAAATAGAACTGGACTCATTAGAAAAGATAGCTTGGTAGCTTGGTTCACAATATGAAAAAAAAATTATAAAGAGTCAAGGGCAAATTTTATCTCATGTATATTGTCTATCACTACCAACACTTCTACTGGCAATCTGCACATATAAGGCTTAAAGACTGAAAATGTTACTTTCTGGTATCAGCCTAACATTAGTGTTATTTCAACAATCAAAATGTAACACAGAAATTACATACCTGTAGGGGAGGATAAGTAGGTGAAACACAACCGTGAAAAATACTGCTGGAAGTCGTAGGTAGAGGAACTGATGTTGTTAGCGTAGAAAATTGAGGGGAAGTACTGGGTACAGGAGTAGTAACATTACAATGTACAGTGTATCGTTCAACTGTACATGTGGAGCTACAGATGGCATAAAATCTACATCCATCACTATCCATTCTGTCATAAATCACATCACCTGAGTAACAAAAAAAAAAAAAAAAAAAGAGTGAGGTAAAAGGAAAAAGAAAGTAAAAATTCAAAATCCGAGGACACAATTCAAAATATCCAAGAAAAACATGTGAACATATTGAAAAAAAAACTAAAGAAAAAGTGACAAAAACTAAGCATTAATAAGAGACATATAGAAGGATAATATCATGTACACTAACCAGGTGAAAAAATAGCATCGCCAACTTTGCAGAAACATGGTGTTGATACAGGGGTAGAGGAAGTGCTGGTGCAACAAGGTTCCGATGTAGTAGTAACGGTGGTAAAGCTGGTGGTGGTGGGCAGGGGGCTGGCGGTCGGGCAGTTCTCGTTGGGGACGCAGCAGAGGACGCGGATCTTGTAGTTGAGGCACATCTTGAATTTGCCGCTCTGGTCCTGGTTCCTGCAGACGAGTCCGAAGTGGACGTCGCACTGCACGACCTGTCCGACCTGTTGGATGGAAACGTCGGGGAAGTCCTCCGCCCGGCACTCGATTTCCTTTGGCTGCTGGCAGACTTCCTTGCCGGCGGCCCGGATGTGCTGGTAGGTTTCGAAGTCTCCCTGGTCGGGCCCGGAGGCGGGGAAGTCGACGTCGAACCACTCGCTCCAGGAGCAGACTTCGGGCTCACAGGCGGTGGTGGACTGGGTGGTGGTGGAGCTCACGCTGGGAGAGTAGACGGGAGCTGTCGGCGTGGGGCTGGTGGTGCTGGTGGAGGTTTGGAGGGTGGTTTCCGAGGAGGTGGGCAGCGTGGTGGTGGGCCGGGTGGTGGAGGTGGAGGTGGTGACGGTGGTGACGGTGGTGGAGGTCGGCGTTCTGCGCGTGGTGACGGTGGTGGGGCTGGTGGTGGTGGGCAGGGGGCTGGCGGTCGGGCAGTTCTCGTTGGGGACGCAGCAGAGGACGCGGATCTTGTAGTTGAGGCACATCTTGAATTTGCCGCTCTGGTCCTGGTTCCTGCAGACGAGTCCGAAGTGGACGTCGCACTGCACGACCTGTCCGACCTGTTGGATGGAAACGTCGGGGAAGTCCTCCGCCCGGCACTCGATTTCCTTTGGCTGCTGGCAGACTTCCTTGCCGGCGGCCCGGATGTGCTGGTAGGTTTCGAAGTCTCCCTGGTCGGGCCCGGAGGCGGGGAAGTCGACGTCGAACCACTCGCTCCAGGAGCAGACTTCGGGCTCACAGGCGGTGGTGGACTGGGTGGTGGTGGAGCTCACGCTGGGAGAGTAGACGGGAGCTGTCGGCGTGGGGCTGGTGGTGCTGGTGGAGGTTTGGAGGGTGGTTTCCGAGGAGGTGGGCAGCGTGGTGGTGGGCCGGGTGGTGGAGGTGGAGGTGGTGACGGTGGTGACGGTGGTGGAGGTCGGCGTTCTGCGCGTGGTGACGGTGGTGGGGCTGGTGGTGGTGGGCAGGGGGCTGGCGGTCGGGCAGTTCTCGTTGGGGACGCAGCAGAGGACGCGGATCTTGTAGTTGAGGCACATCTTGAATTTGCCGCTCTGGTCCTGGTTCCTGCAGACGAGTCCGAAGTGGACGTCGCACTGCACGACCTGTCCGACCTGTTGGATGGAAACGTCGGGGAAGTCCTCCGCCCGGCACTCGATTTCCTTTGGCTGCTGGCAGACTTCCTTGCCGGCGGCCCGGATGTGCTGGTAGGTTTCGAAGTCTCCCTGGTCGGGCCCGGAGGCGGGGAAGTCGACGTCGAACCACTCGCTCCAGGAGCAGACTTCGGGCTCACAGGCGGTGGTGGACTGGGTGGTGGTGGAGCTCACGCTGGGAGAGTAGACGGGAGCTGTCGGCGTGGGGCTGGTGGTGCTGGTGGAGGTTTGGAGGGTGGTTTCCGAGGAGGTGGGCAGCGTGGTGGTGGGCCGGGTGGTGGAGGTGGAGGTGGTGACGGTGGTGACGGTGGTGGAGGTCGGCGTTCTGCGCGTGGTGACGGTGGTGGGGCTGGTGGTGGTGGGCAGGGGGCTGGCGGTCGGGCAGTTCTCGTTGGGGACGCAGCAGAGGACGCGGATCTTGTAGTTGAGGCACATCTTGAATTTGCCGCTCTGGTCCTGGTTCCTGCAGACGAGTCCGAAGTGGACGTCGCACTGCACGACCTGTCCGACCTGTTGGATGGAAACGTCGGGGAAGTCCTCCGCCCGGCACTCGATTTCCTTTGGCTGCTGGCAGACTTCCTTGCCGGCGGCCCGGATGTGCTGGTAGGTTTCGAAGTCTCCCTGGTCGGGCCCGGAGGCGGGGAAGTCGACGTCGAACCACTCGCTCCAGGAGCAGACTTCGGGCTCACAGGCGGTGGTGGACTGGGTGGTGGTGGAGCTCACGCTGGGAGAGTAGACGGGAGCTGTCGGCGTGGGGCTGGTGGTGCTGGTGGAGGTTTGGAGGGTGGTTTCCGAGGAGGTGGGCAGCGTGGTGGTGGGCCGGGTGGTGGAGGTGGAGGTGGTGACGGTGGTGACGGTGGTGGAGGTCGGCGTTCTGCGCGTGGTGACGGTGGTGGGGCTGGTGGTGGTGGGCAGGGGGCTGGCGGTCGGGCAGTTCTCGTTGGGGACGCAGCAGAGGACGCGGATCTTGTAGTTGAGGCACATCTTGAATTTGCCGCTCTGGTCCTGGTTCCTGCAGACGAGTCCGAAGTGGACGTCGCACTGCACGACCTGTCCGACCTGTTGGATGGAAACGTCGGGGAAGTCCTCCGCCCGGCACTCGATTTCCTTTGGCTGCTGGCAGACTTCCTTGCCGGCGGCCCGGATGTGCTGGTAGGTTTCGAAGTCTCCCTGGTCGGGCCCGGAGGCGGGGAAGTCGACGTCGAACCACTCGCTCCAGGAGCAGACTTCGGGCTCACAGGCGGTGGTGGACTGGGTGGTGGTGGAGCTCACGCTGGGAGAGTAGACGGGAGCTGTCGGCGTGGGGCTGGTGGTGCTGGTGGAGGTTTGGAGGGTGGTTTCCGAGGAGGTGGGCAGCGTGGTGGTGGGCCGGGTGGTGGAGGTGGAGGTGGTGACGGTGGTGACGGTGGTGGAGGTCGGCGTTCTGCGCGTGGTGACGGTGGTGGGGCTGGTGGTGGTGGGCAGGGGGCTGGCGGTCGGGCAGTTCTCGTTGGGGACGCAGCAGAGGACGCGGATCTTGTAGTTGAGGCACATCTTGAATTTGCCGCTCTGGTCCTGGTTCCTGCAGACGAGTCCGAAGTGGACGTCGCACTGCACGACCTGTCCGACCTGTTGGATGGAAACGTCGGGGAAGTCCTCCGCCCGGCACTCGATTTCCTTTGGCTGCTGGCAGACTTCCTTGCCGGCGGCCCGGATGTGCTGGTAGGTTTCGAAGTCTCCCTGGTCGGGCCCGGAGGCGGGGAAGTCGACGTCGAACCACTCGCTCCAGGAGCAGACTTCGGGCTCACAGGCGGTGGTGGACTGGGTGGTGGTGGAGCTCACGCTGGGAGAGTAGACGGGAGCTGTCGGCGTGGGGCTGGTGGTGCTGGTGGAGGTTTGGAGGGTGGTTTCCGAGGAGGTGGGCAGCGTGGTGGTGGGCCGGGTGGTGGAGGTGGAGGTGGTGACGGTGGTGACGGTGGTGGAGGTCGGCGTTCTGCGCGTGGTGACGGTGGTGGGGCTGGTGGTGGTGGGCAGGGGGCTGGCGGTCGGGCAGTTCTCGTTGGGGACGCAGCAGAGGACGCGGATCTTGTAGTTGAGGCACATCTTGAATTTGCCGCTCTGGTCCTGGTTCCTGCAGACGAGTCCGAAGTGGACGTCGCACTGCACGACCTGTCCGACCTGTTGGATGGAAACGTCGGGGAAGTCCTCCGCCCGGCACTCGATTTCCTTTGGCTGCTGGCAGACTTCCTTGCCGGCGGCCCGGATGTGCTGGTAGGTTTCGAAGTCTCCCTGGTCGGGCCCGGAGGCGGGGAAGTCGACGTCGAACCACTCGCTCCAGGAGCAGACTTCGGGCTCACAGGCGGTGGTGGACTGGGTGGTGGTGGAGCTCACGCTGGGAGAGTAGACGGGAGCTGTCGGCGTGGGGCTGGTGGTGCTGGTGGAGGTTTGGAGGGTGGTTTCCGAGGAGGTGGGCAGCGTGGTGGTGGGCCGGGTGGTGGAGGTGGAGGTGGTGACGGTGGTGACGGTGGTGGAGGTCGGCGTTCTGCGCGTGGTGACGGTGGTGGGGCTGGTGGTGGTGGGCAGGGGGCTGGCGGTCGGGCAGTTCTCGTTGGGGACGCAGCAGAGGACGCGGATCTTGTAGTTGAGGCACATCTTGAATTTGCCGCTCTGGTCCTGGTTCCTGCAGACGAGTCCGAAGTGGACGTCGCACTGCACGACCTGTCCGACCTGTTGGATGGAAACGTCGGGGAAGTCCTCCGCCCGGCACTCGATTTCCTTTGGCTGCTGGCAGACTTCCTTGCCGGCGGCCCGGATGTGCTGGTAGGTTTCGAAGTCTCCCTGGTCGGGCCCGGAGGCGGGGAAGTCGACGTCGAACCACTCGCTCCAGGAGCAGACTTCGGGCTCACAGGCGGTGGTGGACTGGGTGGTGGTGGAGCTCACGCTGGGAGAGTAGACGGGAGCTGTCGGCGTGGGGCTGGTGGTGCTGGTGGAGGTTTGGAGGGTGGTTTCCGAGGAGGTGGGCAGCGTGGTGGTGGGCCGGGTGGTGGAGGTGGAGGTGGTGACGGTGGTGACGGTGGTGGAGGTCGGCGTTCTGCGCGTGGTGACGGTGGTGGGCTGGTGGTGGTGGGCAGGGGGCTGGCGGTCGGGCAGTTCTCGTTGGGGACGCAGCAGAGGACGCGGATCTTGTAGTTGAGGCACATCTTGAATTTGCCGCTCTGGTCCTGGTTCCTGCAGACGAGTCCGAAGTGGACGTCGCACTGCACGACCTGTCCGACCTGTTGGATGGAAACGTCGGGGAAGTCCTCCGCCCGGCACTCGATTTCCTTTGGCTGCTGGCAGACTTCCTTGCCGGCGGCCCGGATGTGCTGGTAGGTTTCGAAGTCTCCCTGGTCGGGCCCGGAGGCGGGGAAGTCGACGTCGAACCACTCGCTCCAGGAGCAGACTTCGGGCTCACAGGCGGTGGTGGACTGGGTGGTGGTGGAGCTCACGCTGGGAGAGTAGACGGGAGCTGTCGGCGTGGGGCTGGTGGTGCTGGTGGAGGTTTGGAGGGTGGTTTCCGAGGAGGTGGGCAGCGTGGTGGTGGGCCGGGTGGTGGAGGTGGAGGTGGTGACGGTGGTGACGGTGGTGGAGGTCGGCGTTCTGCGCGTGGTGACGGTGGTGGGGCTGGTGGTGGTGGGCAGGGGGCTGGCGGTCGGGCAGTTCTCGTTGGGGACGCAGCAGAGGACGCGGATCTTGTAGTTGAGGCACATCTTGAATTTGCCGCTCTGGTCCTGGTTCCTGCAGACGAGTCCGAAGTGGACGTCGCACTGCACGACCTGTCCGACCTGTTGGATGGAAACGTCGGGGAAGTCCTCCGCCCGGCACTCGATTTCCTTTGGCTGCTGGCAGACTTCCTTGCCGGCGGCCCGGATGTGCTGGTAGGTTTCGAAGTCTCCCTGGTCGGGCCCGGAGGCGGGGAAGTCGACGTCGAACCACTCGCTCCAGGAGCAGACTTCGGGCTCACAGGCGGTGGTGGACTGGGTGGTGGTGGAGCTCACGCTGGGAGAGTAGACGGGAGCTGTCGGCGTGGGGCTGGTGGTGCTGGTGGAGGTTTGGAGGGTGGTTTCCGAGGAGGTGGGCAGCGTGGTGGTGGGCCGGGTGGTGGAGGTGGAGGTGGTGACGGTGGTGACGGTGGTGGAGGTCGGCGTTCTGCGCGTGGTGACGGTGGTGGGGCTGGTGGTGGTGGGCAGGGGGCTGGCGGTCGGGCAGTTCTCGTTGGGGACGCAGCAGAGGACGCGGATCTTGTAGTTGAGGCACATCTTGAATTTGCCGCTCTGGTCCTGGTTCCTGCAGACGAGTCCGAAGTGGACGTCGCACTGCACGACCTGTCCGACCTGTTGGATGGAAACGTCGGGGAAGTCCTCCGCCGGCACTCGATTTCCTTTGGCTGCTGCTGGCAGACTTCCTTGCCGGCGGCCCGGATGTGCTGGTAGGTTTCGAAGTCTCCCTGGTCGGGCCCGGAGGCGGGGAAGTCGACGTCGAACCACTCGCTCCAGGAGCAGACTTCGGGCTCACAGGCGGTGGTGGACTGGGTGGTGGTGGAGCTCACGCTGGGAGAGTAGACGGGAGCTGTCGGCGTGGGGCTGGTGGTGCTGGTGGAGGTTTGGAGGGTGGTTTCCGAGGAGGTGGGCAGCGTGGTGGTGGGCCGGGTGGTGGAGGTGGAGGTGGTGACGGTGGTGACGGTGGTGGAGGTCGGCGTTCTGCGCGTGGTGACGGTGGTGGGGCTGGTGGTGGTGGGCAGGGGGCTGGCGGTCGGGCAGTCTCGTTGGGGACGCAGCAGAGGACGCGGATCTTGTAGTTGAGGCACATCTTGAATTTGCCGCTCTGGTCCTGGTTCCTGCAGACGAGTCCGAAGTGGACGTCGCACTGCACGACCTGTCCGACCTGTTGGATGGAAACGTCGGGGAAGTCCTCCGCCCGGCACTCGATTTCCTTTGGCTGCTGGCAGACTTCCTTGCCGGCGGCCCGGATGTGCTGGTAGGTTTCGAAGTCTCCCTGGTCGGGCCCGGAGGCGGGGAAGTCGACGTCGAACCACTCGCTCCAGGAGCAGACTTCGGGCTCACAGGCGGTGGTGGACTGGGTGGTGGTGGAGCTCACGCTGGGAGAGTAGACGGGAGCTGTCGGCGTGGGGCTGGTGGTGCTGGTGGAGGTTTGGAGGGTGGTTTCCGAGGAGGTGGGCAGCGTGGTGGTGGGCCGGGTGGTGGAGGTGGAGGTGGTGACGGTGGTGACGGTGGTGGAGGTCGGCGTTCTGCGCGTGGTGACGGTGGTGGGGCTGGTGGTGGTGGGCAGGGGCTGGCGGTCGGGCAGTTCCTCGTTGGGGACGCAGCAGAGGACGCGGATCTTGTAGTTGAGGCACATCTTGAATTTGCCGCTCTGGTCCTGGTTCCTGCAGACGAGTCCGAAGTGGACGTCGCACTGCACGACCTGTCCGACCTGTTGGATGGAAACGTCGGGGAAGTCCTCCGCCCGGCACTCGATTTCCTTTGGCTGCTGGCAGACTTCCTTGCCGGCGGCCCGGATGTGCTGGTAGGTTTCGAAGTCTCCCTGGTCGGCCCGGAGGCGGGGAAGTCGACGTCGAACCACTCGCTCCAGGAGCAGACTTCGGGCTCACAGGCGGTGGTGGACTGGGTGGTGGTGGAGCTCACGCTGGGAGAGTAGACGGGAGCTGTCGGCGTGGGGCTGGTGGTGCTGGTGGAGGTTTGGAGGGTGGTTTCCGAGGAGGTGGGCAGCGTGGTGGTGGGCCGGGTGGTGGAGGTGGAGTGGTGACGGTGGTGACGGTGGTGGAGGTCGGCGTTCTGCGCGTGGTGACGGTGGTGGGGCTGGTGGTGGTGGGCAGGGGGCTGGCGGTCGGGCAGTTCTCGTTGGGGACGCAGCAGAGGACGCGGATCTTGTAGTTGAGGCACATCTTGAATTTGCCGCTCTGGTCCTGGTTCCTGCAGACGAGTCCGAAGTGGACGTCGCACTGCACGACCTGTCCGACCTGTTGGATGGAAACGTCGGGGAAGTCCTCCGCCCGGCACTCGATTTCCTTTGGCTGCTGGCAGACTTCCTTGCCGGCGGCCCGGATGTGCTGGTAGGTTTCGAAGTCTCCCTGGTCGGGCCCGGAGGCGGGGAAGTCGACGTCGAACCACTCGCTCCAGGAGCAGACTTCGGGCTCACAGGCGGTGGTGGACTGGGTGGTGGTGGAGCTCACGCTGGGAGAGTACGGGAGCTGTCGGCGTGGGGCTGGTGGTGCTGGTGGAGGTTTGGAGGGTGGTTTCCGAGGAGGTGGGCAGCGTGGTGGTGGGCCGGGTGGTGGAGGTGGAGGTGGTGACGGTGGTGACGGTGGTGGAGGTCGGCGTTCTGCGCGTGGTGACGGTGGTGGGGCTGGTGGTGGTGGGCAGGGGGCTGGCGGTCGGGCAGTTCTCGTTGGGACGCAGCAGAGGACGCGGATCTTGTAGTTGAGGCACATCTTGAATTTGCCGCTCTGGTCCTGGTTCCTGCAGACGAGTCCGAAGTGGACGTCGCACTGCACGACCTGTCCGACCTGTTGGATGGAAACGTCGGGGAAGTCCTCCGCCCGGCACTCGATTTCCTTTGGCTGCTGGCAGACTTCCTTGCCGGCGGCCCGGATGTGCTGGTAGGTTTCGAAGTCTCCCTGGTCGGGCCCGGAGGCGGGGAAGTCGACGTCGAACCACTCGCTCCAGGAGCAGACTTCGGGCTCACAGGCGGTGGTGGACTGGGTGGTGGTGGAGCTCACGCTGGGAGAGTAGACGGGAGCTGTCGGCGTGGGGCTGGTGGTGCTGGTGGAGGTTTGGAGGGTGGTTTCCGAGGAGGTGGGCAGCGTGGTGGTGGGCCGGGTGGTGGAGGTGGAGGTGGTGACGGTGGTGACGGTGGTGGAGGTCGGCGTTCTGCGCGTGGTGACGGTGGTGGGGCTGGTGGTGGTGGGCAGGGGGCTGGCGGTCGGGCAGTTCTCGTTGGGGACGCAGCAGAGGACGCGGATCTTGTAGTTGAGGCACATCTTGAATTTGCCGCTCTGGTCCTGGTTCCTGCAGACGAGTCCGAAGTGGACGTCGCACTGCACGACCTGTCCGACCTGTTGGATGGAAACGTCGGGGAAGTCCTCCGCCCGGCACTCGATTTCCTTTGGCTGCTGGCAGACTTCCTTGCCGGCGGCCCGGATGTGCTGGTAGGTTTCGAAGTCTCCCTGGTCGGGCCCGGAGGCGGGGAAGTCGACGTCGAACCACTCGCTCCAGGAGCAGACTTCGGGCTCACAGGCGGTGGTGGACTGGGTGGTGGTGGAGCTCACGCTGGGAGAGTAGACGGGAGCTGTCGGCGTGGGGCTGGTGGTGCTGGTGGAGGTTTGGAGGGTGGTTTCCGAGGAGGTGGGCAGCGTGGTGGTGGGCCGGGTGGTGGAGGTGGAGGTGGTGACGGTGGTGACGGTGGTGGAGGTCGGCGTTCTGCGCGTGGTGACGGTGGTGGGGCTGGTGGTGGTGGGCAGGGGGCTGGCGGTCGGGCAGTTCTCGTTGGGGACGCAGCAGAGGACGCGGATCTTGTAGTTGAGGCACATCTTGAATTTGCCGCTCTGGTCCTGGTTCCTGCAGACGAGTCCGAAGTGGACGTCGCACTGCACGACCTGTCCGACCTGTTGGATGGAAACGTCGGGGAAGTCCTCCGCCCGGCACTCGATTTCCTTTGGCTGCTGGCAGACTTCCTTGCCGGCGGCCCGGATGTGCTGGTAGGTTTCGAAGTCTCCCTGGTCGGGCCCGGAGGCGGGGAAGTCGACGTCGAACCACTCGCTCCAGGAGCAGACTTCGGGCTCACAGGCGGTGGTGGACTGGGTGGTGGTGGAGCTCACGCTGGGAGAGTAGACGGGAGCTGTCGGCGTGGGGCTGGTGGTGCTGGTGGAGGTTTGGAGGGTGGTTTCCGAGGAGGTGGGCAGCGTGGTGGTGGGCCGGGTGGTGGAGGTGGAGGTGGTGACGGTGGTGACGGTGGTGGAGGTCGGCGTTCTGCGCGTGGTGACGGTGGTGGGGCTGGTGGTGGTGGGCAGGGGGCTGGCGGTCGGGCAGTTCTCGTTGGGGACGCAGCAGAGGACGCGGATCTTGTAGTTGAGGCACATCTTGAATTTGCCGCTCTGGTCCTGGTTCCTGCAGACGAGTCCGAAGTGGACGTCGCACTGCACGACCTGTCCGACCTGTTGGATGGAAACGTCGGGGAAGTCCTCCGCCCGGCACTCGATTTCCTTTGGCTGCTGGCAGACTTCCTTGCCGGCGGCCCGGATGTGCTGGTAGGTTTCGAAGTCTCCCTGGTCGGGCCCGGAGGCGGGGAAGTCGACGTCGAACCACTCGCTCCAGGAGCAGACTTCGGGCTCACAGGCGGTGGTGGACTGGGTGGTGGTGGAGCTCACGCTGGGAGAGTAGACGGGAGCTGTCGGCGTGGGGCTGGTGGTGCTGGTGGAGGTTTGGAGGGTGGTTTCCGAGGAGGTGGGCAGCGTGGTGGTGGGCCGGGTGGTGGAGGTGGAGGTGGTGACGGTGGTGACGGTGGTGGAGGTCGGCGTTCTGCGCGTGGTGACGGTGGTGGGGCTGTGTGGTGGGCAGGGGGCTGGCGGTCGGGCAGTTCTCGTTGGGGACGCAGCAGAGGACGCGGATCTTGTAGTTGAGGCACATCTTGAATTTGCCGCTCTGGTCCTGGTTCCTGCAGACGAGTCCGAAGTGGACGTCGCACTGCACGACCTGTCCGACCTGTTGGATGGAAACGTCGGGGAAGTCCTCCGCCCGGCACTCGATTTCCTTTGGCTGCTGGCAGACTTCCTTGCCGGCGGCCCGGATGTGCTGGTAGGTTTCGAAGTCTCCCTGGTCGGGCCCGGAGGCGGGGAAGTCGACGTCGAACCACTCGCTCCAGGAGCAGACTTCGGGCTCACAGGCGGTGGTGGACTGGGTGGTGGTGGAGCTCACGCTGGGAGAGTAGACGGGAGCTGTCGGCGTGGGGCTGGTGGTGCTGGTGGAGGTTTGGAGGGTGGTTTCCGAGGAGGTGGGCAGCGTGGTGGTGGGCCGGGTGGTGGAGGTGGAGGTGGTGACGGTGGTGACGGTGGTGGAGGTCGGCGTTCTGCGCGTGGTGACGGTGGTGGGGTGGTGGTGGTGGGCAGGGGGCTGGCGGTCGGGCAGTTCTCGTTGGGGACGCAGCAGAGGACGCGGATCTTGTAGTTGAGGCACATCTTGAATTTGCCGCTCTGGTCCTGGTTCCTGCAGACGAGTCCGAAGTGGACGTCGCACTGCACGACCTGTCCGACCTGTTGGATGGAAACGTCGGGGAAGTCCTCCGCCCGGCACTCGATTTCCTTTGGCTGCTGGCAGACTTCCTTGCCGGCGGCCCGGATGTGCTGGTAGGTTTCGAAGTCTCCCTGGTCGGGCCCGGAGGCGGGGAAGTCGACGTCGAACCACTCGCTCCAGGAGCAGACTTCGGGCTCACAGGCGGTGGTGGACTGGGTGGTGGTGGAGCTCACGCTGGGAGAGTAGACGGGAGCTGTCGGCGTGGGGCTGGTGGTGCTGGTGGAGGTTTGGAGGGTGGTTTCCGAGGAGGTGGGCAGCGTGGTGGTGGGCCGGTGGTGGAGGTGGAGGTGGTGACGGTGGTGACGGTGGTGGAGGTCGGCGTTCTGCGCGTGGTGACGGTGGTGGGGCTGGTGGTGGTGGGCAGGGGGCTGGCGGTCGGGCAGTTCTCGTTGGGACGCAGCAGAGGACGCGGATCTTGTAGTTGAGGCACATCTTGAATTTGCCGCTCTGGTCCTGGTTCCTGCAGACGAGTCCGAAGTGGACGTCGCACTGCACGACCTGTCCGACCTGTTGGATGGAAACGTCGGGGAAGTCCTCCGCCCGGCACTCGATTTCCTTTGGCTGCTGGCAGACTTCCTTGCCGGCGGCCCGGATGTGCTGGTAGGTTTCGAAGTCTCCCTGGTCGGGCCCGGAGGCGGGGAAGTCGACGTCGAACCACTCGCTCCAGGAGCAGACTTCGGGCTCACAGGCGGTGGTGGACTGGGTGGTGGTGGAGCTCACGCTGGGAGAGTAGACGGGAGCTGTCGGCGTGGGGCTGGTGGTGCTGGTGGAGGTTTGGAGGGTGGTTTCCGAGGAGGTGGGCAGCGTGGTGGTGGGCCGGGTGGTGGAGGTGGAGGTGGTGACGGTGGTGACGGTGGTGGAGGTCGGCGTTCTGCGCGTGGTGACGGTGGTGGGGCTGGTGGTGGTGGGCAGGGGGCTGGCGGTCGGGCAGTTCTCGTTGGGGACGCAGCAGAGGACGCGGATCTTGTAGTTGAGGCACATCTTGAATTTGCCGCTCTGGTCCTGGTTCCTGCAGACGAGTCCGAAGTGGACGTCGCACTGCACGACCTGTCCGACCTGTTGGATGGAAACGTCGGGGAAGTCCTCCGCCCGGCACTCGATTTCCTTTGGCTGCTGGCAGACTTCCTTGCCGGCGGCCCGGATGTGCTGGTAGGTTTCGAAGTCTCCCTGGTCGGGCCCGGAGGCGGGGAAGTCGACGTCGAACCACTCGCTCCAGGAGCAGACTTCGGGCTCACAGGCGGTGGTGGACTGGGTGGTGGTGGAGCTCACGCTGGGAGAGTAGACGGGAGCTGTCGGCGTGGGGCTGGTGGTGCTGGTGGAGGTTTGGAGGGTGGTTTCCGAGGAGGTGGGCAGCGTGGTGGTGGGCCGGGTGGTGGAGGTGGAGGTGGTGACGGTGGTGACGGTGGTGGAGGTCGGCGTTCTGCGCGTGGTGACGGTGGTGGGGCTGGTGGTGGTGGGCAGGGGGCTGGCGGTCGGCAGTTCTCGTTGGGGACGCAGCAGAGGACGCGGATCTTGTAGTTGAGGCACATCTTGAATTTGCCGCTCTGGTCCTGGTTCCTGCAGACGAGTCCGAAGTGGACGTCGCACTGCACGACCTGTCCGACCTGTTGGATGGAAACGTCGGGAAGTCCTCCGCCCGGCACTCGATTTCCTTTGGCTGCTGGCAGACTTCCTTGCCGGCGGCCCGGATGTGCTGGTAGGTTTCGAAGTCTCCCTGGTCGGGCCCGGAGGCGGGGAAGTCGACGTCGAACCACTCGCTCCAGGAGCAGACTTCGGGCTCACAGGCGGTGGTGGACTGGGTGGTGGTGGAGCTCACGCTGGGAGAGTAGACGGGAGCTGTCGGCGTGGGGCTGGTGGTGCTGGTGGAGGTTTGGAGGGTGGTTTCCGAGGAGGTGGGCAGCGTGGTGGTGGGCCGGGTGGTGGAGGTGGAGGTGGTGACGGTGGTGACGGTGGTGGAGGTCGGCGTTCTGCGCGTGGTGACGGTGGTGGGGCTGGTGGTGGTGGGCAGGGGGCTGGCGGTCGGGCAGTTCTCGTTGGGGACGCAGCAGAGGACGCGGATCTTGTAGTTGAGGCACATCTTGAATTTGCCGCTCTGGTCCTGGTTCCTGCAGACGAGTCCGAAGTGGACGTCGCACTGCACGACCTGTCCGACCTGTTGGATGGAAACGTCGGGGAAGTCCTCCGCCCGGCACTCGATTTCCTTTGGCTGCTGGCAGACTTCCTTGCCGGCGGCCCGGATGTGCTGGTAGGTTTCGAAGTCTCCCTGGTCGGGCCCGGAGGCGGGGAAGTCGACGTCGAACCACTCGCTCCAGGAGCAGACTTCGGGCTCACAGGCGGTGGTGGACTGGGTGGTGGTGGAGCTCACGCTGGGAGAGTAGACGGGAGCTGTCGGCGTGGGGCTGGTGGTGCTGGTGGAGGTTTGGAGGGTGGTTTCCGAGGAGGTGGGCAGCGTGGTGGTGGGCCGGGTGGTGGAGGTGGAGGTGGTGACGGTGGTGACGGTGGTGGAGGTCGGCGTTCTGCGCGTGGTGACGGTGGTGGGGCTGGTGGTGGTGGGCAGGGGGCTGGCGGTCGGGCAGTTCTCGTTGGGGACGCAGCAGAGGACGCGGATCTTGTAGTTGAGGCACATCTTGAATTTGCCGCTCTGGTCCTGGTTCCTGCAGACGAGTCCGAAGTGGACGTCGCACTGCACGACCTGTCCGACCTGTTGGATGGAAACGTCGGGGAAGTCCTCCGCCCGGCACTCGATTTCCTTTGGCTGCTGGCAGACTTCCTTGCCGGCGGCCCGGATGTGCTGGTAGGTTTCGAAGTCTCCCTGGTCGGGCCCGGAGGCGGGGAAGTCGACGTCGAACCACTCGCTCCAGGAGCAGACTTCGGGCTCACAGGCGTGGTGGACTGGGTGGTGGTGGAGCTCACGCTGGGAGAGTAGACGGGAGCTGTCGGCGTGGGGCTGGTGGTGCTGGTGGAGGTTTGGAGGGTGGTTTCCGAGGAGGTGGGCAGCGTGGTGGTGGGCCGGGTGGTGGAGGTGGAGGTGGTGACGGTGGTGACGGTGGTGGAGGTCGGCGTTCTGCGCGTGGTGACGGTGGTGGGGCTGGTGGTGGTGGGCAGGGGGCTGGCGGTCGGGCAGTTCTCGTTGGGGACGCAGCAGAGGACGCGGATCTTGTAGTTGAGGCACATCTTGAATTTGCCGCTCTGGTCCTGGTTCCTGCAGACGAGTCCGAAGTGGACGTCGCACTGCACGACCTGTCCGACCTGTTGGATGGAAACGTCGGGGAAGTCCTCCGCCCGGCACTCGATTTCCTTTGGCTGCTGGCAGACTTCCTTGCCGGCGGCCCGGATGTGCTGGTAGGTTTCGAAGTCTCCCTGGTCGGGCCCGGAGGCGGGAAGTCGACGTCGAACCACTCGCTCCAGGAGCAGACTTCGGGCTCACAGGCGGTGGTGGACTGGGTGGTGGTGGAGCTCACGCTGGGAGAGTAGACGGGAGCTGTCGGCGTGGGGCTGGTGGTGCTGGTGGAGGTTTGGAGGGTGGTTTCCGAGGAGGTGGGCAGCGTGGTGGTGGGCCGGGTGGTGGAGGTGGAGGTGACGGTGGTGACGGTGGTGGAGGTCGGCGTTCTGCGCGTGGTGACGGTGGTGGGGCTGGTGGTGGTGGGCAGGGGGCTGGCGGTCGGGCAGTCTCGTTGGGGACGCAGCAGAGGACGCGGATCTTGTAGTTGAGGCACATCTTGAATTTGCCGCTCTGGTCCTGGTTCCTGCAGACGAGTCCGAAGTGGACGTCGCACTGCACGACCTGTCCGACCTGTTGGATGGAAACGTCGGGGAAGTCCTCCGCCCGGCACTCGATTTCCTTTGGCTGCTGGCAGACTTCCTTGCCGGCGGCCCGGATGTGCTGGTAGGTTTCGAAGTCTCCCTGGTCGGGCCCGGAGGCGGGGAAGTCGACGTCGAACCACTCGCTCCAGGAGCAGACTTCGGGCTCACAGGCGGTGGTGGACTGGGTGGTGGTGGAGCTCACGCTGGGAGAGTAGACGGGAGCTGTCGGCGTGGGGCTGGTGGTGCTGGTGGAGGTTTGGAGGGTGGTTTCCGAGGAGGTGGGCAGCGTGGTGGTGGGCCGGGTGGTGGAGGTGGAGGTGGTGACGGTGGTGACGGTGGTGGAGGTCGGCGTTCTGCGCGTGGTGACGGTGGTGGGGCTGGTGGTGGTGGGCAGGGGGCTGGCGGTCGGGCAGTTCTCGTTGGGACGCAGCAGAGGACGCGGATCTTGTAGTTGAGGCACATCTTGAATTTGCCGCTCTGGTCCTGGTTCCTGCAGACGAGTCCGAAGTGGACGTCGCACTGCACGACCTGTCCGACCTGTTGGATGGAAACGTCGGGGAAGTCCTCCGCCCGGCACTCGATTTCCTTTGGCTGCTGGCAGACTTCCTTGCCGGCGGCCCGGATGTGCTGGTAGGTTTCGAAGTCTCCCTGGTCGGGCCCGGAGGCGGGGAAGTCGACGTCGAACCACTCGCTCCAGGAGCAGACTTCGGGCTCACAGGCGGTGGTGGACTGGGTGGTGGTGGAGCTCACGCTGGGAGAGTAGACGGGAGCTGTCGGCGTGGGGCTGGTGGTGCTGGTGGAGGTTTGGAGGGTGGTTTCCGAGGAGGTGGGCAGCGTGGTGGTGGGCCGGGTGGTGGAGGTGGAGGTGGTGACGGTGGTGACGGTGGTGGAGGTCGGCGTTCTGCGCGTGGTGACGGTGGTGGGGCTGGTGGTGGTGGGCAGGGGGCTGGCGGTCGGGCAGTTCTCGTTGGGGACGCAGCAGAGGACGCGGATCTTGTAGTTGAGGCACATCTTGAATTTGCCGCTCTGGTCCTGGTTCCTGCAGACGAGTCCGAAGTGGACGTCGCACTGCACGACCTGTCCGACCTGTTGGATGGAAACGTCGGGGAAGTCCTCCGCCCGGCACTCGATTTCCTTTGGCTGCTGGCAGACTTCCTTGCCGGCGGCCCGGATGTGCTGGTAGGTTTCGAAGTCTCCCTGGTCGGGCCCGGAGGCGGGGAAGTCGACGTCGAACCACTCGCTCCAGGAGCAGACTTCGGGCTCACAGGCGGTGGTGGACTGGGTGGTGGTGGAGCTCACGCTGGGAGAGTAGACGGGAGCTGTCGGCGTGGGGCTGGTGGTGCTGGTGGAGGTTTGGAGGGTGGTTTCCGAGGAGGTGGGCAGCGTGGTGGTGGGCCGGGTGGTGGAGGTGGAGGTGGTGACGGTGGTGACGGTGGTGGAGGTCGGCGTTCTGCGCGTGGTGACGGTGGTGGGGCTGGTGGTGGTGGGCAGGGGGCTGGCGGTCGGGCAGTTCTCGTTGGGGACGCAGCAGAGGACGCGGATCTTGTAGTTGAGGCACATCTTGAATTTGCCGCTCTGGTCCTGGTTCCTGCAGACGAGTCCGAAGTGGACGTCGCACTGCACGACCTGTCCGACCTGTTGGATGGAAACGTCGGGGAAGTCCTCCGCCCGGCACTCGATTTCCTTTGGCTGCTGGCAGACTTCCTTGCCGGCGGCCCGGATGTGCTGGTAGGTTTCGAAGTCTCCCTGGTCGGGCCCGGAGGCGGGGAAGTCGACGTCGAACCACTCGCTCCAGGAGCAGACTTCGGGCTCACAGGCGGTGGTGGACTGGGTGGTGGTGGAGCTCACGCTGGGAGAGTAGACGGGAGCTGTCGGCGTGGGGCTGGTGGTGCTGGTGGAGGTTTGGAGGGTGGTTTCCGAGGAGGTGGGCAGCGTGGTGGTGGGCCGGGTGGTGGAGGTGGAGGTGGTGACGGTGGTGACGGTGGTGGAGGTCGGCGTTCTGCGCGTGGTGACGGTGGTGGGGCTGGTGGTGGTGGGCAGGGGGCTGGCGGTCGGGCAGTTCTCGTTGGGGACGCAGCAGAGGACGCGGATCTTGTAGTTGAGGCACATCTTGAATTTGCCGCTCTGGTCCTGGTTCCTGCAGACGAGTCCGAAGTGGACGTCGCACTGCACGACCTGTCCGACCTGTTGGATGGAAACGTCGGGGAAGTCCTCCGCCCGGCACTCGATTTCCTTTGGCTGCTGGCAGACTTCCTTGCCGGCGGCCCGGATGTGCTGGTAGGTTTCGAAGTCTCCCTGGTCGGGCCCGGAGGCGGGGAAGTCGACGTCGAACCACTCGCTCCAGGAGCAGACTTCGGGCTCACAGGCGGTGGTGGACTGGGTGGTGGTGGAGCTCACGCTGGGAGAGTAGACGGGAGCTGTCGGCGTGGGGCTGGTGGTGCTGGTGAGGTTTGGAGGGTGGTTTCCGAGGAGGTGGGCAGCGTGGTGGTGGGCCGGGTGGTGGAGGTGGAGGTGGTGACGGTGGTGACGGTGGTGGAGGTCGGCGTTCTGCGCGTGGTGACGGTGGTGGGGCTGGTGGTGGTGGGCAGGGGGCTGGCGGTCGGGCAGTCCTCGTTGGGGACGCAGCAGAGGACGCGGATCTTGTAGTTGAGGCACATCTTGAATTTGCCGCTCTGGTCCTGGTTCCTGCAGACGAGTCCGAAGTGGACGTCGCACTGCACGACCTGTCCGACCTGTTGGATGGAAACGTCGGGGAAGTCCTCCGCCCGGCACTCGATTTCCTTTGGCTGCTGGCAGACTTCCTTGCCGGCGGCCCGGATGTGCTGGTAGGTTTCGAAGTCTCCCTGGTCGGGCCCGGAGGCGGGGAAGTCGACGTCGAACCACTCGCTCCAGGAGCAGACTTCGGGCTCACAGGCGGTGGTGGACTGGGTGGTGGTGGAGCTCACGCTGGGAGAGTAGACGGGAGCTGTCGGCGTGGGGCTGGTGGTGCTGGTGGAGGTTTGGAGGGTGGTTTCCGAGGAGGTGGGCAGCGTGGTGGTGGGCCGGGTGGTGGAGGTGGAGGTGGTGACGGTGGTGACGGTGGTGGAGGTCGGCGTTCTGCGCGTGGTGACGGTGGTGGGGCTGGTGGTGGTGGGCAGGGGGCTGGCGGTCGGGCAGTCCTCGTTGGGGACGCAGCAGAGGACGCGGATCTTGTAGTTGAGGCACATCTTGAATTTGCCGCTCTGGTCCTGGTTCCTGCAGACGAGTCCGAAGTGGACGTCGCACTGCACGACCTGTCCGACCTGTTGGATGGAAACGTCGGGGAAGTCCTCCGCCCGGCACTCGATTTCCTTTGGCTGCTGGCAGACTTCCTTGCCGGCGGCCCGGATGTGCTGGTAGGTTTCGAAGTCTCCCTGGTCGGGCCCGGAGGCGGGGAAGTCGACGTCGAACCACTCGCTCCAGGAGCAGACTTCGGGCTCACAGGCGGTGGTGGACTGGGTGGTGGTGGAGCTCACGCTGGGAGAGTAGACGGGAGCTGTCGGCGTGGGGCTGGTGGTGCTGGTGGAGGTTTGGAGGGTGGTTTCCGAGGAGGTGGGCAGCGTGGTGGTGGGCCGGGTGGTGGAGGTGGAGGTGGTGACGGTGGTGACGGTGGTGGAGGTCGGCGTTCTGCGCGTGGTGACGGTGGTGGGGCTGGTGGTGGTGGGCAGGGGGCTGGCGGTCGGGCAGTTCTCGTTGGGGACGCAGCAGAGGACGCGGATCTTGTAGTTGAGGCACATCTTGAATTTGCCGCTCTGGTCCTGGTTCCTGCAGACGAGTCCGAAGTGGACGTCGCACTGCACGACCTGTCCGACCTGTTGGATGGAAACGTCGGGGAAGTCCTCCGCCCGGCACTCGATTTCCTTTGGCTGCTGGCAGACTTCCTTGCCGGCGGCCCGGATGTGCTGGTAGGTTTCGAAGTCTCCCTGGTCGGGCCCGGAGGCGGGGAAGTCGACGTCGAACCACTCGCTCCAGGAGCAGACTTCGGGCTCACAGGCGGTGGTGGACTGGGTGGTGGTGGAGCTCACGCTGGGAGAGTAGACGGGAGCTGTCGGCGTGGGGCTGGTGGTGCTGGTGGAGGTTTGGAGGGTGGTTTCCGAGGAGGTGGGCAGCGTGGTGGTGGGCCGGGTGGTGGAGGTGGAGGTGGTGACGGTGGTGACGGTGGTGGAGGTCGGCGTTCTGCGCGTGGTGACGGTGGTGGGGCTGGTGGTGGTGGGCAGGGGGCTGGCGGTCGGGCAGTTCTCGTTGGGAACGCAGCAGAGGACGCGGATCTTGTAGTTGAGGCACATCTTGAATTTGCCGCTCTGGTCCTGGTTCCTGCAGACGAGTCCGAAGTGGACGTCGCACTGCACGACCTGTCCGACCTGTTGGATGGAAACGTCGGGGAAGTCCTCCGCCCGGCACTCGATTTCCTTTGGCTGCTGGCAGACTTCCTTGCCGGCGGCCCGGATGTGCTGGTAGGTTTCGAAGTCTCCCTGGTCGGGCCCGGAGGCGGGGAAGTCGACGTCGAACCACTCGCTCCAGGAGCAGACTTCGGGCTCACAGGCGGTGGTGGACTGGGTGGTGGTGGAGCTCACGCTGGGAGAGTAGACGGGAGCTGTCGGCGTGGGGCTGGTGGTGCTGGTGGAGGTTTGGAGGGTGGTTTCCGAGGAGGTGGGCAGCGTGGTGGTGGGCCGGGTGGTGGAGGTGGAGGTGGTGACGGTGGTGACGGTGGTGGAGGTCGGCGTTCTGCGCGTGGTGACGGTGGTGGGGCTGGTGGTGGTGGGCAGGGGGCTGGCGGTCGGGCAGTTCTCGTTGGGGACGCAGCAGAGGACGCGGATCTTGTAGTTGAGGCACATCTTGAATTTGCCGCTCTGGTCCTGGTTCCTGCAGACGAGTCCGAAGTGGACGTCGCACTGCACGACCTGTCCGACCTGTTGGATGGAAACGTCGGGGAAGTCCTCCGCCCGGCACTCGATTTCCTTTGGCTGCTGGCAGACTTCCTTGCCGGCGGCCCGGATGTGCTGGTAGGTTTCGAAGTCTCCCTGGTCGGGCCCGGAGGCGGGGAAGTCGACGTCGAACCACTCGCTCCAGGAGCAGACTTCGGGCTCACAGGCGGTGGTGGACTGGGTGGTGGTGGAGCTCATGCTGGGAGAGTAGACGGGAGCTGTCGGCGTGGGGCTGGTGGTGCTGGTGGAGGTTTGGAGGGTGGTTTCCGAGGAGGTGGGCAGCGTGGTGGTGGGCCGGGTGGTGGAGGTGGAGGTGGTGACGGTGGTGACGGTGGTGGAGGTCGGCGTTCTGCGCGTGGTGACGGTGGTGGGGCTGGTGGTGGTGGGCAGGGGGCTGGCGGTCGGGCAGTTCTCGTTGGGGACGCAGCAGAGGACGCGGATCTTGTAGTTGAGGCACATCTTGAATTTGCCGCTCTGGTCCTGGTTCCTGCAGACGAGTCCGAAGTGGACGTCGCACTGCACGACCTGTCCGACCTGTTGGATGGAAACGTCGGGGAAGTCCTCCGCCCGGCACTCGATTTCCTTTGGCTGCTGGCAGACTTCCTTGCCGGCGGCCCGGATGTGCTGGTAGGTTTCGAAGTCTCCCTGGTCGGGCCCGGAGGCGGGGAAGTCGACGTCAAACCACTCGCTCCAGGAGCAGACTTCGGGCTCACAGGCGGTGGTGGACTGGGTAGTGGTGAATGTGCTAGTGGGCTGTTGTGTTTTGGTCGTCAGTGTTGTAGGGATTGAGGCTGTTGTTGTCTCTGTTTTAATCTGTGTTTGTGTCGTTGGTTCTGATGTTGTTCCTTTGTGAATATGTTCTGTTTCTGGTGGAGGTGCTGGTATTGTAGTTGTTTTATGTTTCGTTTGTAGTTCTGGTGTTGTCGATTCTTCTGTGGATGTTGTACTTTGCGTTGAAAAAGTCGTGGTTGTTTCTGCTTTTTTTGTTGTAGTATGTGGTGCTGTACTCGGCTGGCACGGTACTGTTATATTTGTACAACATTTAAATCTTATTTCATAGTTGTAGCAGATAGGTGGTAATTGGTCTTTATTGTAGCATATCAACCCTTCTTCTGTGTTACATATTATTTCTTGCTCCAGGAGGGGATATGGCACATCAGGGAACCTTACTGCTCTGCATTCAACTTCTTTTCTGTTTTCACAGACTTTGTATCCCTTTTTTCTAATGTTCTGAACTGTATCAAAATCTCCATCATCATATCCAGACCCTGGATAACTGACATCATACCACATTGACCAGTAACATTCTTCTTCAATGCAAAGAGCAGTTGTTGATGGAGAAGTGGTTACAGGTGTTGACACTTCATTTGTGGTTGTGGTTGTTTCTTTAGTAGATGAAGTTGTGTATGTTGTACTTTCAGAAGTTGTAGTAACTGGTGATGTTGGAATGGTTGAAAATGATGTAATTTCTACAGTTGGACTTGATGTTTCTGTGCTCTTAGCTGCAGTTGTGATTGGTGTTGATGTGCTGGACTGTGTTGTGGAAGAGCATGGTACAAAAACACAGCATAAGATTCTGATTTCATAATTGTAGCACATTGTTGAAATTTGATCTCTGTTGTAACATATAAGCCCAGCTGTTGTACTACATTCTACTATTTGGCCAAGTTCTTTCAGTGGTATGTTAGGGAATTTCTCTGCTCTGCACTGAACAGCCCGTGGATCTTTACAGACTTCATATCCTTTAGCTCTCAAATCATCAAAGGTTTCAAAATCTCCACCATCATAACCAGGGGTTTGCAGACTCCCGTCATACCATTCTGACCACTCACAGACTTCATGAACACATACTGATGTAGTTGGTGACACTGTGAAAACAAAAGAGACCATGAAAGTTAGAATAAATTCCCATGGATATTCTACTTTTTGCTATATTAAATGGACTGAAAATTTTCCTAAAGTCATTTACTTGCCTTGTTAGCCCGTAGTGCATCAGTTTAGTGTACTTATAATTCCATATGAAATAGAACAGCAAATCCATCACTCGGCAATTTAATGTACTAACATACTTGGAAATGTAACTGGAAAATCTTTTACAAAGTGCTGAAATAATTCTTGGGCATAATTTATACACATTGGAGAAAAAAAAAAAAAACCACCTCACATTTTTTTTTGCATTTGATTCAGCGTAACTGCTTGGCTTGTATCTTGTTTCAATATTTACTAGTCTCTATGGAATGTAAAAGCCTGATTCAAAGCCAGTGGAAAGAATAACTTTTAGTCTATCCATCAAGATTCTTAGGTACATTTTTCTTCCAAATGAGTTGACTCCTCATGTAATGTGCTGCATTGTCTTTGCTCCTCCATTTGAAATAAAAGATATCCGGTGCAGCGGTATTAGCACCCCTACACTTTGTGCTTTATCTCTGGTCTTAAGAAACTATTTATTGGTTGGGGACCAGTCCATAAGCTTTTGCAGGTGAATTTTCATTGTGAAATGGCTGGAAAATGGCTAATGAATTCCAGCAGTGCTAATTGTTTCTGTGATTTCAAAACCTATAATTCTAAATTTTATACTAAATACTTGTTTCATTAAACAACTTGTGCCCATAGTATTTATAGATTACCAACCTGAAGAATGCTGAATTCTAGAAATGAAAATTTCAGTATCTCAGTGCCCATATCTGAGCAATCCACTTAGTACTGCAATTATAAATACTGTGAACTCTATCAGGAATTTTACAGAAAGCAATAATTCTGTACTTTAATAGGAAAAATAATGAATTATTCATTCAGTAAAGATTATTCCAGTATAGAAATAGTTACAATTACAGATAATAAATCTGATGCTGTTTTTTAATCATTCACTATGAAGATAAACAAAATAATAGTATCAAACCTGTGTGCAGTTGTTTTCATTTTGGTGTTTCACAAGTGGTTTACTTTCTATGTCTAGTTCCTTGTATCTGTTTGATTACCAAACACTGACTGAAACCAAATGCTAATAACAAATGAGACTTACTGACATTTATTTTGTGGTTCTCTTAATTCACTTATGTTGTCATTGTGGGCATGGTTTTATAGCTGTATTGTACTCACTAATGAGCAGAACCTGCTCTTAGGGGCTATAAAGGTTGTACCTGTGGAAGCAGTGGCAGGTGGTGTAGTGCTGAAGTGAAACGTTGTTGTTGTTGTTGTGGGTGATGTTGAGGTTGGGCATTCATAGACAACCCTCTGAATTGTTCCATTGGGACCACAGGTTGCAACAATACACCCTCCTGTGCCATCTGTAGTATTGTAGATCACATCCTTATAGTTGTATTTCTTTCCCTCATAAATGCAGACACATTCTGTAAATCAAAAGAGAGTGTTATTCCTTGGTAACCAAAACACAGAGTAGAGTACCTCAGATACATCCTATTCAGATAAAAACAACTTTGTCAACATACCATATTCATCATATTTGCATTTTTTGCCATGAATTGTGCATTCACTGGAAAAGAGAAAGAAGGAAATTATGAATGTGAATATATTGGTTCATGACATAATTTTATTGTTTCAATTTTTTCTAATGATCCTTTACTATTCATTGTGTGTTTAAATGTAGAAAGACCCTATCTTCTCTGAGTTAGATATTTAGTTCTGTTGTACACATTCAGGCTAGGTAGGATCACTCCGTTTTCTGGCAAGAAAGGCAACTCTTCTATGCCAACATACTAAATGTGCAATATGGTTACCGGTGCTTTTGGGGGCTGGGCAAAGATGTGGGGAGGGGTGATTTGAAATGTTCTTATCTCCCTAGATAGGTATGCTTATTTTGGGGAAGGGAAAGTGCAGTAAATCTATCATTTGAGAAAAGATTATTGTATTATGGATGTTGAGGTTGTCTACACAGAGAATCTCTATCAGCCTTCCTAAAGGCACAAGAATGCATTCTGTTTTTAAAGGGAATTTATCTATTATCTGTTAAGAAATGAATCTCGATATTTTTATTAACTAAGGGCATCTGTACGCTGCATAAATTTAAGTAAATATAGATAGGTACTTAGCAAGTTAAGTTTAGTGCAGTTAATGACATAGATGATGTATACAAAGCTGTCTATGAACTGCAAAACATGCCATGAAAGTTGGGTTAGTTCTGATGGGCTTTGCCATTCTGACTGCATTGCTTACAGTATTCAAGTGTAGCTACTTTAAAGGTATCTTAGGACATTCGTTAACTGCTTCACAGCTGATTCTGCTAACTTTCTGCTATTTGGTAGTGCTGAGTAGCACTTGTCCCAACATGTCATCAGTTCTGAGAGAATGTGTGGGAATACTTGCTGACTGTTTCAAATATGCAAGTACCAGTGTAATAACAGAAACAAGCTGAAAATAATGAGGATTAGTTGCCCACTACCTTCTAAATAGCTTTACATAATGATTTTAGGGATATCTTAAAAAAAAATTCTCAGACTATTGCCATAGCTATTATTATTTGGGTTTACTTAATAATGATAATAATAATTTAAAAGTACTGTAATAAGGATATGGAATAAATAGTAAATTAATCTCTATATGGTAAAATGTTTCACCATGTCATCATTTAAGTTCCAGGAAATGGAAGAAAATTAGACATTATTCAGCAGCCTATGACTGGCCTAGTTCCTGATGGCAAACAAAAAAAATAATGGATGATGAATTATGTTCCACAACTTTAAACTCAATGTTTAAAAATCTTTGTTAATCCTACCATGATTGACAATTCTGATTTGAAGGCATCTGCATTCCTGGTTTGTAATTTTTTCCATTTTCATAACAACCACAATTAGAAACACAAGTCATGGTTTCTTCATCAAAATAGGGCTTATTCTTTGGACATTGTGGATAGCAGCCTACAATAAAAAATTAGAATTATGTTGACACTAGGCCTTGCACAAGTAGAAGCAACCCTATAATCTGCTTACATCTGTTTTCCCCAAATTATCCTATATGGTAAGTGGAATTTCAGGCTCTGTTACTGCTATTCCTTTGATTGCACAGTAAGCTTTGGAGCATTTGTCCTCATCTTCACTTCAAATAAATTCATGATTCATTATGGAGTAAGATACTAATTAGAAAATCACTCTCTATAATTTCTAATATAAACATGTCATATACTGAGTAATATAAATTCTATTAATCATATTGCATTTTAACTTTTATAAGTTGAATGAGATATGCATAATTATGTTTACCTTCTAAACCTCTCAACTCATGAAGGCATTTCCCACTTGGATTATTGCAGGTCTTCATACAAGGGGCTCCACATGGCTTGTAGTGCCACTCACATTCCCCTTGTGGGTTGTAGTAATCGCAGAACAGAGCTAGAAGAAGGAGAAATGACAGAAGACCTTTGATCATTTTGCTCTACAGTCCTTCAGTTTTGTTGGGTAAAAATCCCGTGTCATCAGCATCATTGCATAGGTAGTAGACAGTATATTGTCTTATTTCTAATTTAGTGCAATTGTTACACTTCTACCACCATTTGACACCAATAAAGTTATAAAGCATAGAACAGAGTTACATACTAATCATGAAAAATCACTGATTTTAGCTAATATGCATTAGTATTCATTTACACTGAGATGGATGCAGACAGGTGGGAGGATAATATATTATAGTTCACCAGTTGTGTATCATGACTGGTGAGTAAATCAGACACTAATGACACCACTGGTAAAGTTATTATCAATGGTTTCATTTTAAGAAGATAGATTGGCTTCCAGTGACTTACCCAACTTGTTTTGTGTTTATTTTTTGATACTTTTAGAATACAACAGTTTCTCTTACAGACACAATTTTACCATTCTTTCTTTAATTGTTCTACTTCTTTTTCTTATTTTCTTCTCTATTTTCTTTCCCTCTGGACCCCTTCAAAAAATAGTAGGGTGAAACTCACGACAAATGGCTGGGGTTCTCCATGAAATGCAGATGTCCAGCTCATTGCACGCTTGAGCATAGGCAGCTACTGCTGTACAGAAACATTCACAGTCTCCTCCAGTGTCACAGGCACAAGCATCATCCACGCATGCTTGATAATATTCATTTGGTTCAACCTGTTGGAGAAAACATTTGAGTTTTCATGCACTTGTCCTCTTTGAAAAGGCATTCCCTGTCCTAAAAAAGTTGAATAAAATATCTGAAACTGACAACTCTGTGAGAGAAAGATAAGAAAGGAAGAAACCATGAGAATGCTTTGAAAAATCAAGATGAAAATGTAGAATAAAGCTGTTACTAATAAGTTGTAATGCTAAGAACTATTTGATGTTGAAGATACACTTGCAGATAGAATATTGTTACATTACTACAAGCTAGCACACAGTCATATATGTCAGGTGGCTGATATTTATATTAGTAGAAAATTATGCCCTTAGAAAATAAACATATCCTGAGATTTATTTGTGATTTTCCTTTCTATTAAAAAACCCCAACGATTGATTTCTTTAGTGTACTAGTTCAAGTCACAACCTGAGAAAATGAAAATACTGTCTATGCATTCTCGCTGGAACTTGGTCTGATTTCACCTTGTCATGCTTGTATTGTAGTGTATTTTTCAGCTATCTCACATAAAAATTAATGTAATTACTGGCTTATGAGAATTTAAGCCTGAAGTTTTTGTCATACCTGGGAGTGACACTTTGCAAACACGTCACTGGTAATGATGCTACATTGTTTCTGTGCCCAGGCTTTCCTGTATGGGTTTGCAGTGCATGGATCCTTGGTACGATTGGCATTTGGGCAACTAGAAGACACTTTCCAGCTATTGGCAAACTCTAGCACATTTCCGACCACAGACTGACTGCGAGTAGTGAAGTCATTATTTCCATTGCCATCATAGTTTCCACAAAGTCCACAAACATGTCCCTGCATGGGGATAGACAGAAAATGACAAAGATCAGTAAGGTACAGTTTCTCAGTACCTGTGAGTAACGGACCTCAGGGTGAATCTTATTTGAAATTATATGGGCCTCTTCAGTAACAGTCTTGGACAATTTGATAAAATACCTTTCATGAAGAGATGTCTCTAACTTGTTCTTATGAAGGATAAAGATCAGAAGCAGAATAGACTTGTGGTTTTTGTTCTTAGTATCGAGCAAATTAGTTTTACCTAATCCTGAAAATACTTCCTCAGTGAGGGCTTTTCAAGAAGAAAGCTACTGTTGTAGTTGCTATTATGCCATTGCTGAATAACACAATTTAAGGAAAATGTGTAGTACACAAGCTAAGTCAACACTACATGGATAATAATACACAATTGCTGCTCTTTCAGTCTTCCAGTTACAGCCTAAATTTCCATTTTCTCCTTTGAGAGATAACTTTAATATGTTTCAGAAATAACTTTATCCAGGATTTGTATTTTAAAATGTACCTGAAAGCTGGGACTAAGTTTAATGAATATACTGGTTTTCTTGTCCCACATGAGTATCAGGCCAACAGTAGTGTCAACCACCAGGTAGATGCCCATGGAACGGATTTGGAATGGCATTTTTCCTCCAGGTGTCCTCTGGATGACATCAGAGTGTCCATCACTCAGTACCAGCTCATAGTTCTAGGACAGGAAAAGAAAATGTTAGAGGCCAATTTAAAAAGTCATCCATTAGGTACAGTTTTATATATTGCCAGTAACTGTTATTGAAATAATAGCTCTATTATCAACAACATGATTCTATTCAACAACCATACGTTAAAAATTTCTCTTTAGAATTCCATCCTTTGCTTTCTCTAGCAGAGAGCAGAATCGTTAGCAGTGAGCAGAGAAGTGCAGTAATATTTTCACTGTCTTGGAGGACACGTCTGTGATGCTGTCTATCTGGGACAGCTTTTTCTGTCCTTCTGCACATTAGGCCCGGGGTACAACTTATTAAAGAAAATACTTACTCCTAGGAAAACTTTAATAGACTTAGAGCAGGTGGTTCCTGTAGTGCCACATGGAATGTTCTCTGTGATGACTCTGAAGGTTCCCTGATTCATACTTTGTTGACCACAGTAGTTCTGAAACGGGGGAATGATATTCAGTGTTAACTATGCTACGTGGTCATATGTAAAGTGCAAGATCATTTGATAATGCAAAAATCTGGGAAGGACTCTGTTACCTGGACCAGAACATATTCACAGTCTCCTTCAAAATCAAAGCGTTTGCCATCAAAGGTTGTGTAATGCCCATCGCCATAAACAGAACAGGTTTCCAGGCAAGGCTCCTCAGAGCAGTGCCATTTTCTGTTTCTACATGTGCTATGTAAGACAAAAGGCACTCCAAATGTAAAAACCAGATATAAACATAATATTGCTATATGTACATTCCTACATGTACATCAATCTGATTTTAAAATGTGTTAAGCCTATAATGAAAATTAAGGTTTGCTTATTCTCAGAAATGCAGCATAGCTCAAGAGCCTTTGGGATTTACCCAAAGTCTGTGTTATTGCATGATGTCATGAATAATTTGGGTTAGAAAATACTTTAAATATTTCATATTTCCAAATCTTGTTGTTTGTATTGAAATGTAGGGATTGCTTGTGAGGAAAAGCTTTCTTGACTCAAATGAATATGACAGCATCCAAACCATATTGTTCTCCTGACCATTTCCAACTTCAGTGCTGTGTGCCATTGTATAAAATAGACAGAGCTTGGTTTTTAGGTACTAAATCAATCATCTTATGTAGGATTCCTTCCTATCGATCTTGATACTGCTAGAGTCAAATGCTGTAGTTCATCTTGAGCTTAAACTATTCCCTTTCAGATGCTTGAAAATAATAATTTTCAATATGCTCTTACCAGTTGTTACAGCCAACTCGGATTGATTCCCCTGGTCTGTAGAAATTCCCGTTGTGAATACATGGACAGTCTTCTGGAGCTATACAGCCACCTTTACCATCCAACACTTGATTATGAGGACATACACAGCCAGAGACACAGTGGGTTTTGTACTGTAAAGACCATATAGAAAACATGACTTAAAATATTTCTCTGATGGAAGAGTCCAGCTGCAGCTGGTAATTGTAAAAGAGATCCAGTTTAATGTGCTTTCAACAGGGTATAAAGAGTCTATACTTACACATTCCATATCTAGAGTCTGACAGCTCTTCTGGCATCCTGCTCCTACCACGTCTGTAGTGACATTGCCACAGTCAATATAGACCATGGGAAGTATGCAGACTGAAAGAGAGAAAAGCCATGAGTAATGAGAGATCAACTATATATTTATACGGTTGTGTTTCCTTAATGCAAACTGTAGGAAAAAAAAAATAAAAACCACTCCCTTGTGGGTTATGTGTACTTTAACATAATGCATTTGACCAGAAAGAGAAACAGATTATTGTTTTGAAGTCATGCCCATCTGGTTTTTGTGCTTATGTTTGGACTACTCATAGAAATTAGTGTTTAGTTAGCGTTGTAAAATTCTTACTCTCAGAAAAAAAGAACAAAAAGCAAACAATAAGAAAATAAAGATCCTGGTTTATTTTGTTGTTTTTTTTTTTGTTTTTTTTTTTTCTTTAGGATTTTAGTATTTTATTTTAAATGTAGATGGTTTTCTCCTCATGTTCAATGAGGTGACCAAGTATTCTTTTCCTCTGTGTAACCCAGGGGATTATAACTTTTTTCAGCCATCCGAAAGGTAAGACAGTGTTTCTTTACATTTGGGAATATCTTCTATATTACAAAAGTCATCAGTTCATTTCCTTGTTTGATTTCAGAATTGTAGAATTTTCATTAAAAAAAAAAAAAAAAAAAAAAGAGAGAACTAAAAAAGGTGAAGGTGGAAAGGGAGAATTAAAGAAAATCTTAAGTGATATGTTACCTGGTTCAGGTTTCTCTCCAATGCAGCTCAACTTTCCATAGGTACAAGTGCTATAAAAAAAAAGAGAATTATTTTTTTTTGCTTTTCCTTGCTAATTTTCATCTTGTTTCCTAATGAATTTAAAATAATGAAAAATTACTGTGTGATAAAACAGAGAAAATATATGTTTTATCAGAATGGTTTTTGCTATTCAAAAATATTTTATGTTGGAGCAGACCAAAATACAAGTATATTCTATATAAATACAGGTTTGCTCTCTCTGTTTGCCTGGTTAAAACCTGTCCTTCAAAACAATTCAGATTCAGTTTATAATGGGAGTTATCTGTAATGGGATTACCAAGCGTTTTTTGCCATGGAACAAGTCTTTTACAGTCATGGATAAGAAAAATATGTGTGGTGGGGAGGGAGTGAGTGACTGGGTGCGAGTTTGGCAGTTAGCCAAGGCTAACCCACCACAGTGTGGTTTGCTGAATTCCTGTAGTAGTCTGAGTACAATCTTCCAGACATGGAGAGCCCTAACAATTTTTAAGGGTCTGTGATTTGTTGTATTGAAATTATTAGGGAGATAAATCCATTTGATTTTAATAGATTGCATAATGCATATGTGGTTTCACGATTGCCTATATTCAATCTTGTTCTTTACAAATCTCTTACCAGACAACACCGTTATCATGAATAACTTCTCCAGAAGACAGGGGCATTCCCTTGTAGTAACAAGGACAGCTAGTAGCGGGCACACATTTGCCACTCTCATCCATGTAGGTTCCATTTATGCAGGTGCAGCCATCAACTGGGACAAACGTGATGCTGCAGGTGACATCAGGCTCACTCAGAGACCGGCAGGTGGGTTGACAGGATTCGACATTGTAAGTGTACTTCAAGGATTTCGGACACAAGGTGGTGTATTTTGCTTGAGAGTAAAAAGGTGAGTTACATGTGAAGTTCATTTAAGAATGAATATAGATATAAATGCAGTATTTGAGGTAAGGTATATATGATAAACATAGCAATGTATGTACATGTGCTATATTGATATCCTTGATAGTGTAATGTTGGGGTTTTTTTACTGCTAGAACACAATTTTCCCCTATAAATGTGTCACATATGCAAATGTTTTGTCCAGGTTAAAAAACGAAAAAAGTTCAGTTATATTGATGCATAGTACGTTTTTTCTTCATTGTTATTTTTATGCTTTTTGATAAAGTAAATTGAGAAAGAGCCTACTTATTTTACTCCTACTGCAAGGATACTGAGGGCCATGTTGCATCTGCTGGTTCTGAGCAAGTAATCTAACAAATCCTCTGTATTATATTTCTCCCTGCTTACTGCTTATCTTTTATGGTATTTCCATCTTCTTCAAAATCTTGAAACTCAATTCTAGATTTAAAACACAATTTAACACAATATGCTGTGGGCATCCCTGAGAGCTGCTGTGTGGGGCCTTCTGGATGTATTTTCAAGAGACAAAGGGATATAGAACTTACTGCAGGCTTTGCTCCTCCATCCAGTGAGGAGAATTCCTTTAGCGGCACAGGCCCTGACATAGCTGGAGAGGGCAGCACACATGCAGTCCTCACTCTTCTCACAGTTACACGTGTCAAACATGCAGTTCTAAGGACAGAGGATGACATAGGATCATCAGATTGTCACGTCCAAGCCATGGCTCTCTATACTTTTTGGAGTGTCCTGTTCATTAGAGCTAAAAGCAAGAGTAATCCATATGCATAAGTAAATATATGCCTGGTTTTGATTTGAAGATTTCATTGGGATTTTTTGATTGAAGATTTCACTTTCAAAAAAGATTCTTTGCAAGGAGAGAGAGTAGTTAAATGTCCACAATTTTAAAATACTTTTTATTTTTCTTGTGTTTTTTTTTTTTTTTTTTTTTTTTTTTCGGGTGTTAGTAGCTTTCCCAACTACTTCCAGTTTGTAGGCACTGTGCCTTATATACTTAGAAAAAGTAGAGGGTATTTGATGCCACCCAACTGTAAGGGCTCAGGCTTAGGAGCTTGGGCTATCTGCATCAGAGGAATGAAGAAATCAAGAAGTCATTTAATGTGTTGCTATGCTGGGCAGGTCACTATAATCTTGTCATTCCAGAAGATGTTTGTTGAACATAATCTTACAGATTTCCAATAACAAGGAGGCTTTGTAAAGTCCCCAGGCAGTCTGTTCCAGAGCTTCATCACCTTGGATTCCTGGAACATTTTTCACATCTTATCTAAATCTCTTTGCTGCTTCTTATGCACATTTCTTGCCATCTCCTTGGATATATGCAAAAGACTTCTGAGAGCAGTTCGGAACAACTAAGCAAAGCACTAGTTAAGATTCTGACTAAAGTTTTCCTTATATCTCAGGAGGGACAGCTTTTGTCTTTTGACCTGATAAGGAGTCCAGGGAGTCAAAGCTCCTAGCTTAGACATTTAGGTTAATATCTAAAAATATGGGCATTACAGAAATACACCTGTAAATTTATCCTCTTAGGAATGGAAAGAACGATAGTTTTACTGAGGAGTAATTATTATGATGTGTATATAAAAATGAACATTTGGTTTGAAAAGAACTATCATGAATTCATCACCTCCCAGTTGGCAAGTTATTCTCTCAGGTGTTAGTATCAGAAATTTTATATTTTTCTTTTAAATAGGAGAAAGATAAGAGCTGAGTACCTTCTCATAAACCTCTGGATTCACTGTTGAGTGACATTCAGCAAAAGGTCCCATGGTATCAGAGAGCAGTCCACACCAGTGCTGAGCATACTGGTCTGTGAATTGAAAACATGGTAAGAATTTCTATTGTACTTCATTATCCAAACTCTTGTCCCAAAGTAACTGTACTTCCTGCAGAGAAATTGCAGAAGCTTAACTTCACAATTGAATTCACCTCTGCATTTGCTGAAAAACAATCTTTTACTTCCTCTATACAGAAATATGAACTCTTCATAAACTGAATGCTCTTAATTCATGGTAGTTGTCATGGAACAAGGTAAGACATCCTTAGCTGAATTTTGAAAAAGAAGGTTCACATTGTGAATTAAAAATATTTTAGTTCATCTCAGAAAGCAGAAGAGTGGCTTGTGAATGCTGAAAAATTACATATTTCATTGGCTGAAATGGAACCTGAGAGCTATGAAGCTCTGAATTATAAGTCTGGTTCACAGTTTAACAATGTAAAGACCACACTGAGTCCAGTGTTCCATGGGGTTATGCCCAGCTTTCTTCTTGTATGACAATCAGTCCTTTCCAGAATGGATGCCTGATACTCTGTAAGGTTCCAGTTTCCTTTAAACAAGTTGGTAAAAAAAACTTGCTTCCTTTATCCAAAAGAATATTTTTGAAGAATCAAAATATTATCCTAGTCATTATCAATTAATTGAAGACTTTTAGTGACAACTGAGGAGAATTGTGTGTGTGCAAACGATCCACTGTTACTTTGGCTAAATGCTTGGTGGCTGATCAGCTTATTCCTTCTTTCCATCCTAAAAGAGAGGTTGTTATATGCTGAGCTTACCATTTTGTATGCTGACAGTACAGGGGTCCTCGAAGGTATTTTTGGCATCAGGACAGTCAGCCCGAGTTTTCCAAGTATTACCAAAGGCAGCTGAAGTACCCTCTATTACACCACTTGTGGTTTTGAAATCATCTGTCTGCACGTCATTGAAGTTTCCACAAAGACCTAAAAGGAAGCATGTGGGTGTGAAAATCTCCTACAGAATGAAGCATACTGATGAAGGCAGTTGTTATAAGATCACTTACCACAGGTCTGGCCTTTATGTGATGGGTCTAAGTCTATAAAAACTTGCATGAGAGGCACGAGCTGAATCTGTAGTTGAAGACCAAAGGTTGTTTGCAGAATGATGAAGAATGATGATGGTCTGAAGATGGTGACATTCGCTAGGGATATAAGAATATGAGAATTATAATTTCATATGAAATGAGCAGTTGAAATAACTGTTCATTATATAGAGGTGTGTTTGATATAATTCCAATTTCTGAAGAACTGGGGGAAAAATGATCCATACAGGTTTTCAAATCTAGCACCAAAACAGGCTGTCCTTACCCTAAACAACAAATGTATAAAACCCCTCCACTTTCTGTCAGGTGTTTTGAAATAAGGTGAAGAACACAGACTTTTGCTGCTATTTAAAAGACCACCTTTGCTTGATGAAAATGATATAGCATTATTTAGTGGTAGACTCCAAGCAGGACCTATTCTGTCCTTTCATGGTTTGCTTTCTGTCCAGGTGCAGTAGTATATGAGAAGAACTGGTGTGAGAGAAACTCTCCAGTGATGAATGTGCACTAAGCAAAGGGACAGAAGGAACACAGGGAACTAAACAACTTGAGATATTGGAGTCCTGTTGAGTATCAGAATTTTTCATTCCTCTCTTCTGACAATGTTTGGATTTGGAAGTGTGCATTGATGCTATTTGCTGGAATTGAATCTCAATTTAATTAGATATTGCTAAAATTAGGCCATATTATAAGAGTTGAATAAGCAAACCTTATTATTTTAAAAATGAGAGACTGTGCTCCATTGGATTACCTTATGTTTGCTGCAGTGTCCCTAAAGGTAGAATTTGGCTTTAGATTAACCAATGTAAAAAGCATTTTAAAGTCAAAACCTGAAAGCATTACAGAAGTCTTCCAGAGGAACTTACCTGCAGAGAATGGCAGCTGTGTGTAGATCATATTCACAAATACACTGCCGGAAGGCTGGATCACAATATTCTGTCCACAAGAAAAGTTAAAAATTATCAAGCATATTTAGGAAAGTTAAAACACCTTCCAATTATTTTCTACCTAGTATTGTTCAGGATAAAGGAAAAAAAAGGAGGGGGGAGGATGTGACAATGTTATGATTCCTATACTATTTCTTTAATCTTTATTACTGTGGTCCACTGACTGTCAAAACAAACAAGCAAAAGCTTAATAACTAAAAGACAGAAAATAACTAGAATCTTGTCTTCCAGTGTACCTATATTATTCTTATTTTTTCTTTGAATAATGTTCAAATGAGATAAACCAAAAACAATAGTGCAGATTTCCTGTGCTGTTATGTGTCATTTGCAAACTACTTGTCTTTTAAGCTTTGAAATCAACCCTGCAGAATGTTAGATGTCCACATTTGCTACTTACAGTTTGTCCTCCACTTAGGCTGACAGCTATACCCTTGAGGCATGTCTCAGTGTCAGTCAGGCCACACTTATGGATATCTCCCAAAACAGTGAATTCATTGCCGTCACAGAGCTAGAAGAAGAAAACAAAATATATTGTTCAAAGGGTTTGTTATATTAAAATATTGTTATGTTAAAAGCTTCACATTCAGATGGCATTCTTAGTAAAGTGAGTCTTTTAAAATGTTTATTCCTTTTCTTCCTGTTTCCTACATATATGTTCTGACATATATGTATACAGTCACTAAGTAAGCTGGCATTCATGCAATCTGCACAGTGGAAGCTATCCATTAGTTCTGGCATTCAAGGGCAAGTTAGACATATTAAATTGAACATTAAAACTTCCTAATGTTTATGTAATATTTGTTCCTACTGTTTAGGCAATACTGGTTTAATACACTAGAGGAAAAGAAGGAAGTGTGTCTTGGTTGTGCCACAACCCATTGGTTGTGGTGTTTATCTGGGAGAGGACAGAAATTGTTTCCAGTCTCGTCTGCACTGAACAGGTTATCAAAGAGCCTGTCAATCTGGACTTTCTTTCAACAGGTAGGAAATATGCATTTAAATATCCTCTCACAATCTAAAATGACTCTTCACTGAGCTACTGAATAAAGGCAAAATTCAGCTTTTCACTTGGTTCTGATTTTCAATGGACTGAGTTCTGTGAACTGTATTCAAAGTGTGCCTAACAGCCAAGGTGTTAAAGGGAAACATGCAGAAGGCTTTGATTCTGAATGTGTCTTATTGTTTTCTTGACATAATAAAAATTAAATTGAGGACAGTTGAAATGCAGAATTACAGCCATGTGGAAATGTAATGCTGAAATTGTGGGCTTTTGGACATTTTGTTTCCAAGTTCAGGGATTTTCTGTATCTTCAGAGCCTCTGAAAGTCTAGTTTTATATGTTTGTGCCAAAAGAGTTTAACGAGTGTCTGATCTATAATTCCATTGTGGATTGAGACCAGTGCTTGTGAATCTCATCAAAAAGTTTCATTGATTTAATCTAATCTATTTCTAAATTACTTCATTATATCTCATTTCTAAGTTTTTGTGGTTCTCTTTCTTGGTAACATTCAGTTTGAGCTTTTTGAGAACAGATTTTATTTAATATGAAGTCTTTATGAAAATTGTTTCCATCAAACAAACAACAAATGTACCTAGGGTTCTGAAATCTGCAAATCTATAGTCATTATTTTAGATATATCTACTCAGAATTCAGACCCTATTGATCTAAAAACTCCAGTAAATCTTAGATATCTTTGTCAGTCAGTCATCAATTTCTAATTGAGGTTTCAGAATACATGTATGACTTCTTAAGCTTTTTTTCTTTTAAACTCTAGAGTGTTCAATGTTTACTGGGAAAGACTGTTTGGAAGGCTGACCATCTCAGTGAAATAACTCCTCTCACATGAATTCTGTATAGTAATAATTCCATTATGAATCCTGTTAATCAAATAAGCTATTGAATTAGCTGTGACAAAAAGAACAGTACCGATGGATGTAATAAACACATTGCTCAGAAATAAGTAGTTATAAAACACAAGGCAGGCAATATTTAATTAAAAAGTTTATGGGAAGCATGGAGATTGTTTCATAGAACCTAAAAGCTCAGTGCAATTCTTAAATGATAATTAAAGAACACAAAACTACTACAATATATTTATTTAGTATAACCCTAACAGAAACCCTACTGAAATCCATTTAAGACTTCATGCTGACCCTCTAAGTTCCAGAATGCTGATGTGATTGACAGTAGTTTTAATTTCACAACATTATATATAATAGAAACATTTTCCTTTGACATATTGCTTCAGCAAGGATTATGACTCTTTTACCTTGGTTAGGACATAGCTACAGTCTCCGAAGAAGGAATAGTATTTCTCATCAAATGTTGAAATGTGGGAGCCTCCTTCAATACTGCAAGTCCCAGGGCATGACTGGGTGATACAAGACCATTCACCTCCAACACAGGTACTGAAATGAAGAAGGCATTCAGTAACCTTGGGTAATACAAGCGTAAATTAAATAAGAGATAATAAGAGCAGTTGAAACCTTACTTTTCCTCTTGAAACATTGATCATACTGTCAGAGGAACCAACATCGCTTTGAAATCTCAGATTAAGTACGGGGCAGGTGAATTTATATTAGTGATAATTTTTTATATATTGTTGTTCATTTCCAGTCCTTGGACAGAATTCAGTCCTGGTGAACCTGGCATCCATTCTTCTGCATATGAAGGATTGCCCTTCATCTCCATTAACATGCCTCAAGCTTCAAACATGTTAAGTATTTCTTGGAAAATAACATGCATGTTTGTAGTTCTTGTATTCAGAGATAGATAGGTCCATTTGCATATGCAGTAATACTTCAGTAATTATAGTGAGATTAGAAAAATACATCATATCTGTCAAACACGCCTTTTAAATGTGACCTCCTACTCTGTCTAATGCAACACGTCCCTAAATGTCACATCTTCCATAGTATCAACATGAGTATTAGACTGTAGTGCTACAAAGGACATAACACGGTAATTCACATTTTTAAACACCTCCAGTATTTGATTTTGATTCCTTTAATTGATTGATCTTTAAATTGGAGTACCTATATCTAAACTAAAATTTTTGCTTCCAAACGTGAGGAGAAAACAGACGTGTAAGTATCCTCTAAAAATGTGTGATCAAGGAACTTCTATTGATAAGTAGTTCCTCGTTTCTTTTTAAGGGGAAATTAGTAATTTTTCCCTGTCTTCAAAGTGTTACAGTAATGCACCTAAAAAAAAGAAGTATGGGAAAGAGAGTATGTTACCATGATCTGCATTTAGATGAGAAGGAAGCACCAGGAGCATAAGTTTCACCTTCATAGGTACAATGGCATTCGTTACGGGGAATGCAGCCAGCACCATTAATGTCATCAAATACCATTCCTAGGGAAAGAAATGGACTGTTACTCATTCTGTGCACTGCAGAACCTGTTTTTGTACCCATACCTGACAGATACCTGAAAGCATGTTCCATTTCTTCTGTATTACATAGAAAATGAAGTGCTATAAAATAATAGGATGTCAGCTGTGTAGGGATGAAGTGCTATATTCCAGAGGCCTATCTAAAATTTTAGGGTCATCAAAAGAGACCTCTAGGGAAATACTTTTCTGTTATGGACTTCATTAGAATTGAATTAGGATTAAAATTACTAGATAATGAGGTGGAATAGATGAACCATTTGTAAGACTCCCCAGGGACATATTTGTACCGTAAATATTTTTAGACCCAAAGGCAGAGAATTATCTAAGAGAAGTCAATGCTATTATACAAACAAGTGATGGTAAAATCTGTGAGACATAATGGAGGACAGGCAGGAGAGCTGCAAGAGCTGCAAGCATGCACAAAGAGAACACATTTGCATTGTTTGTCTTGTACTGATACTCAGTTCTCATGTGTAATTCTCTGAAGTGCCAGATTTTACACATTGCTTAATGTTCCCTCAGCTCCTGTTGTTTAGCCATGCAGCACTGGACAGGAAGGGTTTGGCAATTGGGGGAACCAGACACGGCTTTGTTAACACCAGGAGTTATCATTGTTGGAAAAATGTGATTAAACATTACATACTTCCTGTGGACTGAATATGGATGCTGAGAATAGAAGACTTCCCCTTACTGTTAACAGCAAAGTATCTTATTCTCAGTTCAGTCATTATGTACATCTCAGGCATGTTTGTTGTTTAAAAGAGCATTTTTAGTAACCTGAATAGAAACGATGCATGCATGTGAAGGAAGAAATGGAGCTAATACTTTGGTGATAATGAGAGCGATGACATTATGAGAGTGATACAGAGTAGGAAAGTTGTTAAATGTGTACAGGTAGGTGTTCTAGTGGTTTTGGCTATCAGAAGAGGGCAGGAAATAAGCTTGCCTGGAGGACAGACGCAGCCATCTGTACAGTGATCTTCACAAAGTTCAGATCGTTCCGGGTTGCTGCATGTGTCAGAGCAGGGGGAGCCACACTCCTGGTAGTGCATGTTGAAAGGACACAATTTGGCTGAAAGTAGAAATAGTATTATAATGTTGACTTTTCCTTTGAAATGTTGAGAAAACTCTATTTGTAAATTAGAATGTTTTCTGTCAAGATATAATGGGGAATACTGATCCAAGTGGAGGCTGCAACATTTTAAACTTTATGGTATACATTAAAAACCCTTAGTAATGCAAAATCCTCTAAACTTCCATATTCCCAACAGCTTGAATATGCTCAGGTCAAAACTGATTTCATGAAAATTACACGCACCTTTAAACAGCTGTCTTCTTCAGGGAAATTAAGACACATATTTGAAGATCAATAGATATGGGTGGTAAGAGAAGGTGAAAGCCCATTCCCGAGATACTTACGACACAGTTCTGGGGTTCTCCAGTTCAGAGGCTGTCCACCTGCATGAGCGCACTGCCGGGAGTATTCAGCAAAGGTGTTGCACATGCAGAAGTCAGCCATGGAGCTATCACAGTGGCATAGGTCTTGTATGCAAGTTTCAATGTAGTCCTGAACATTTACAAGTGCATTACAGCTTGTAAATGCTTTACTGGTTAATACTGTCTCACAGATAGAAGCCTAGGAGGGAAAATAGAGAAGGTAGAACAAGTGTTTAGAAAATATGAAACTAATTATTTAAGGCATGCAGCAGAAGAAACCAAAGGTCCATCTGGTCCAGAAACCTGTCCAACAGTAGCCATAAGCAGATGTTTAAGGTAAAGTATAAAAATATGGCAAGTACACTTGGAAGTCTTTTGATTAACTCCCATATCTTCCCGTATCTTGAGCTACTTTCAGCTCAGGTGACTTCCCAAGCATTATACAGCTTCTTTGTATTAATATATCCTCAGTGAATTTCTCTTCCATGAAAATACCCAGTCTTCTCTTGGAAGGGGAATGCAGCTTTTTACCACTTACTTTAGCAAAGGATAAAAAACTAAATTTAGAAAAATTTTCTTTCCAGACCTATGATTGACTCATATTCATTCTATATTTTTTTCTGAATCTAACATATTTTCTCCAAAGGCAGAGAAAATGTATTTTACACTGAGAAAACAAATTTTGAGAGAGAGGTTCTTACAAATTCAGATGAGCAGTTCGCCAGAACAATAGGAGGAATAGGATCAGCACACTGCTCTGTGGGTCCATCCATCTTTTGCTTATTCCCAAACTGTATAGGAGTCAGTTTTGTGTCTGTAAGAAGCAGTCCAAATGTTAGAATAATATTTACTGGTTTACCACTTTTTGCATGGATATATTTTCTTTTGTGACAGTACCCACTATGACATGAACAGTGATTACCAAGAAATGTCACTATAATATGAAAGGCAAAAGGAGATAAAGAAGGTATGCAAGGAACTGGATCCTAACTATTGAAAACAAGTAGAAAGTTGCACGTGGCAGGTCTTAAAAGATCTAAGAGTGATGGTTGGAAGCAACCTAATGCATCTCAAAGCCCTTACTCTGTACATAACTGACATCTTAGAAATACATAAAGAAGTATCACTAGTTTTGGAGTTAATGCAACCCACAGCCTGTGTTACAATATAGTGCTAAAAGAGAGAAAAACAAAGTGCCAATACTTAATAATGCTTTTTATTACTTACTCTCAGAAAAAAATTCATTGCTAATTGGTATTCCATTGAAGTCCCCACAAAGCCCGCAAGTTTGATTGGCATATTTCTTATCTAGTTCCACCTAAAATAAATGAGGAAAGAGAGCTTAGATTCATAGCAATGTCAGCCTTGATGATTAGGAGCACAGGCTACATCAATATTGCTTATGTACTCAAAATTTGACATACATATGCTGTGCAGACCGTATCATGCGGTAACAAGGTAGGTACCATTCAGAAGGTCAGTGACCAGCAAGAAAAACTTGGTCTTATTCTAGCCCTGGGGTTGTGACCATGAGCACATTGCCAGGTTGGGAATCTGAGGAGTACTTCACTGTGAGGTGGGAATGTTATAATTGGGGGTCTATTGATCCTGAACTGAGCAGGAAAAAAGAAATGGGGAGAAGACTGGAAGATAGAACAGTACACTAAAAATGGACGCAAATCCAAAAGTAACTAATGCCTGCCTGGCTGATTAAGACTGCAAATATGTAACCAGATTATTCTCAAAATACAGGCTCTCTGACTTGTTATGGATTTTTTTCTTACCAGGAGGGCATCCTCTTCATTCCAAAGGAAGGTCAGACCTAACTTGGCAGAAACTTTCAAATAGCTGTTACTTCTCTCTATGAAGACTCCCATATGGCTGTAGGGCACCTGAACCCTGGGGAAAGATCACAGTAACTCAGTGGGAGTAGGGACAGAATAGCCATTGAATATCCACACTGATATCCTTTCTCATTCTCTTTGCAAATCTTCAGCATGCATAGGTGAGGAAACTAGTCAGAGCAGTACCTAAATACAGACAAGGCAAATTTGCAGTGGTTTGGTTGTTGCCTATGCAGTTGCTTCTCATGGTGCAGATGGATCAACCTTGCTTTCCCTGCCGTTCCTTCTGGCAATCTCTGTTAATTAAGTTTTACTACATAAAATATTGCCATGTGTCTTTGGTTGTATTGTTCAAAAAAGTGCTGGGAGGTTCTGTTTTGCATGTAGTATGCTTCAGGATACTGCTATTTACTCCTTAAAGCCCTTGATAATAAAGGGATAGGCTCTTTAGGCTTTCTGTGACATGAATGCCATTCACAAAGGTGTACCGAAGGTAACTTTGAGACTAGCTCGTAGTACATAGCTGTTATAATACACTGCTCACTGTGGAATAGCTGCCCAAATATTTGCTGGCCTTTTGGACAGGTTTCACACCCTAGGCCAAAGTCAGCGTTACCACTGCTACATAGATAGCAAGTTTCCAGACTAGCTCATTTTAAACGAGCGCAGCTACAACCTGCAGTCACTGCTTTACTGCATACTGTTCAGTGCAAGGACAAAAGCCGTCAAAAGGTCCTCTCAAGGATCTTGTTCTGGTAAAATTAATGGAAAGTAGAAACTTAAAGGGTGTAAAAAACTAACACTTTTCTGAATCCAGTTTATAGGCTTAATTGTATATATAAATACACATTTGTGGTAGTGGGGCAGCATCTGGGATATAGTTTATCTGAACAAAATGGACACAGGGATAATCTGCAGAAGTGGCACTTAGCTCCCTGTCAGGCCCTCTGATTTTTGTTGATACTTCAGGAAGGACCTGACCCTCCAGCTGCTTGGGAGCAATGTGAGATCAGATGAGGGAAAGGGATACTTGCTCAAAGAGCCCACCGGGAGTAAGAGCAGTGATGGTAGTTTCAAGTTATGGACATACAGTTTGCCATCAAGCAGGACAGAGTTGCGGGTCAGTTCAATCACTGCTCCTTCCAGCTTCATGATGACGTGAGTGATCACAGTAGCATTTCCCACCATTGTACGCCTGATCTGGATGTTGAAGTCCTCATAGGGAGATTTACAATTGGATGCAAAGATGTAATTGCAGACCCCAGGGAAGTAAAAGATGTCCCCGTCAAAGGTCTTGAAGTGGAAGTTCCCCCATGTGCTGCACACACGGCCATTGTGGGAGGGGTTGCCAGCTGTGGATTCAAAATAAGCAGTAAGAATTTTCTGTAATTTTCTATAAGTACCTTCCCTTTAGTTGCTTTTCCCCTTTCATTTCTTTCACTAGCCTCTCTCCAAAAAGCCCATCTTCTGTTTTCCTTCTTACCGAGCTATTTGTTTATCAAACTGTTATTTATTTAGTTCAGCTACCTTTTGTGCTCAATCTGTTTTGCATAGGGATATAAGACCTAAGATCAGAAAAGACCTTCCAGGTCACTATGTCCAATGCTCTGGTTCTGCTGATAGTCTTATTCCACAAATCCTTTCCTAAATATATGAAGTTCTAAAGTGTCACCATAAATCCAGTTTAAAGTTAGTTTAAAACTAGCTGGTACTCCCACTAGGGAAGGCCACTCAAAGCTCCACCCTTTGAATGGCTGGAAGACTTTTGCCAGCATCTTCCAAAGTGTATTCCTGTCTCATGTATCCCCAATTGTTTGTGTGCCAGTATTATGCTTCATCTTAAAAGGGTTCCACCTCTGTGGTCTTCCCCCCACTCGTTATAGAAACCACTCATCTCTTTTCAGTCTACATTTCCTTAAAAGCAGGCTCTCCTACCTCCCTGATTATTCTCACAGGCCCTCTCTGCACCTTTTCCAGATTTATACTCACCCTGCTTGAACATGGCTAGTCAGAATTGTACTCTATACTCTAGATAAGGTGTCGCACAAGTGATTTGAATACATTAATATTTCCCTCTCTTTATTGGAAATACTGTGCATGATTTACCTCAGTATTATTTATATATATTTATTTTTAAAATATACATTTTTTGGAAATAATTTTTTCTAGCAGCTGCACCATATTAACAAAATACAGGCTAAGTATTGGAGTCGCATTTAGAACCGACTACTTTCCTTGTTTATTTTTTATGATTTTAAAGGATCTTACATAATTTATTGATCTCTTCAGTCATTCCATGCTCTACCTGTGTGATCAACAAGAACGCAGACATCTGATCTGTGACATTTAACTTACCCTTTACTTTCAGTGTGTTTTGAAAAGGTGGAATGATTTTCACTTCTTGGGATTTTGAAGCTGGTAGAAAATCTAAGGGGGGAAAAACCAGTCAAGGTTAATCTTATTAGAAGCCCTAAAAAATCAATAGTTTCTTTAGCAATTAACATTTCCTGCTACTAGTTACAATCCAGGGGGAAATTTCCACAAGGTTTTATTGATGGTTTTTACACAGTGCTTTGTGTTCTGCCTTTCTATATTTTTCACTAACAGTCAAATCCAAATCCCAAAGACCATACTCTTTGGCTGTAGAACTTTCATTCATTATTTGTTCAAGACTCCCATCTGATGCTGGCCCTGATGTTCTGAACTCAAAAGAAGCAATGTGATCCTCAGAGTACTGTATCGTAATAGTGATGCATAAAAAACAGAGTTAATGTCTATGTCTGAACCTTTGTCTATCAGTGGATGTAGAAGCAGAAAGTTACTGAAGAATATTAGAATCTGGGGATGAGAAACAGGAGCTGTTTTTTTCTGAAGCTCATATTTTTCTTTGTGCTGAGACATGCACTTTTGCAAAGCCAACTCTAAGCAGATTTTTTTAAAAAGCAGTTTAAATTCTGTGAAACGTCAATCAAGTGCTTTTCATGCAAAGACTTCAATTGGTAGGATCCAGCCCTAAATTTTCCATGTTCAAATCCAATGTTTTCTCTTTGATTCCAGCAATGAAATGAATAGAATACTCAGAGAACCTGCAATGTGATTTTCTTAAATGCGAGTCTGAGGAATTGATAGAGTTTCTCCCTTGAAAGTATCAAAATAGTAAAATTTTGTGACTTCCAAACTGTAGATACTGTAATATCAACATCCAACTTCTTCATTTAGACAAAAAAATATCACTAAGACAAATAAGTGTTTTAAGAAAACAATATCATTTAGTCTTGAAGTAAGGATTTTAAGGGAAAGCACACATATCACCTTCCTTGACAATCTGTTCCAACAATGAAATACACTCACTATTATTATATAATTTGTGTTACACTTCCAATTTGGGTTTATCACTGTTTTAATTGCCAGCCAGTGACCTCACAAATTGCAGATTGCAGGGCAGGCTTAGTGATTAACTGTTTCATCTTCTTATCACTAATATACCAGTCAGCACTGTATCCTTCCACCCTTATTTTGCTCTCTACAGTTACAGTGTTTGCTCTGTACAGTTATGTGTCATGCCTGATCTTGTAGTGTTTAATTATTCAAACATTTAATGTACTTACAGTTTTCTTATTCTCTCATGAGTGATGCAGTCATCTTGACACAGCATAAAAGATGTGTCTTTTATTACCTACTATCAAGTACCTTGGTGATATGTATGTATACACACACCTCTTCTGAAAATACACTTTTAGATAAAAGGTATGTACCTTTCATGAAGTTAAATATTAGATAACTGTATTATGTCATTAGACTAGATCCACTGGGCCAGATCTCAGAGGAAGTTCTCCAGTGTACAGCAGTCAGAGATTGGCTTGGAATTGGATATATTGTACAGAGGATTTCTCTCTCCCTTTTTTTTTTTTTTTTTGTAGGGGTGGGGGGGAAGGGAAAATATGTTCTAGCTAGGAATAAATAATTTTACTATTTATTGATTTAATTTGGGATAAAATCTCAGAAATACATTAACATAAAAATACTTACAATTTTGTCGCTGCAGGATGGATGGAGAAGCATAGTTTGATTTTGTTTGTTGTTCATAATCCTGGGCTTGAACTGCATCAAGAAAAGTAGACGAGAAAAACATTAGTGTCTAATATTCTTGAGTTCCCTCATCATTTCTTGATTATATCTGTTGAAACATGCAATAGTCGGTACATCAAAAATCAGCAAAGCTATGTTCTTGTACAGAAGGTCAGACTTGCATCAGGACCTGTGCTACATGCAACCATGATGGACATATACCACTCCTTCAGCTTTTGTTTTTCTGTTTTTTAGGGGGGTTTTATTTGGTTGTTATTTTGGTTTTTTTTTTGCTAAGAAGTTACTGCAGGGGAGTCATCAAAACCATGCCTATGATAATTTGAGCAGATCCTTATTCTATTATTGTCACAGTACTCCTCAATTTCCTCAATCAGCTTTTCAGATAAAGGACCTAATTTTCTTAGTTTTTATGATCATTGTGTGCTTTAAGCATCATTAAAACCACACTGGGGCAGCTTGGGCCCAGCTGCGGCCCGTGGGAGGACACAGTGTGGAGAAGGTTCATAGAGGACTGTGCCCAGTGAGAGGGGAGCCACATGGAGCAGAGGAGGAATGCACGGCATTCACCCCACCTCCCGAGAAGGAAGGAGAGGTGAGATGAACGTAATCCCCATCCCCTGACCCCTGCACCATGGGGGAGGAGGTAGCAAGGTTGGGAGCAGAGCTGAGCCCAGGAAGAAGGGAGGGATGAGGGGAGATGTTTTTGGGATGTGGTGGTGCTTCTCACTCTCCCACCTTGTCTGTTAAGTGTTGTCTTTGATAGCATTTGAATTAAAGCGATGTTTTCTTTTCTTCCCCGAAGGAGTCTGTCTTTTACCCGTTTCCATAATGGGTGAGCTACTCCTCCCTGGTCCCTAGATGGATTCACATTCTCCTTCCCATCAGGAAGGGATGAGTGAAGGGCTGCGTGGTGCTCAGTTGCCCTCTGGGCCTAAACCACGACAGAGGGAGCTCCCTGCATCCCTTTTTGCACCAGCTGGGGGTCTGCGGCTGGTGTTGGAAGGACAAATCGTACCCATTTCTAAGCTATGAACCATTCAGTGCATCTGGGCTCCTCCACTGCCTAGCCTCAGAGCAGAAGCAGCTGCCTGCTTCTCTCTCCATGCACTGTGTGGCTCCAACACTCTGCCTCATGTCATATGCACACAGATTCCAGTTTCCATTGCACAGTGTGGTAATGTTACAGCTAGTCTTTTGATAGGCTATTCTTTGACGCTACCACTTTTTAACATAAATTAGTGTGGGATTACCTGGAAGTAGGAAAAGGTAAAATAATACAACAGGATCTGCATCTGAGATCAAAAGGCACTAAAAACTAACATTCTTATTACCTTAAACTTTAAGGGAAATTAACAGGTGAAGTATACATAAAAAATATTTCCACTCACCTGTGAGTATTAAGAGCTCTCTTAGAATATTTAAGGCAACTATTTGTTTTCAACCCATCAAAAACCAACCCAGTGCTCTGAGCTTTTATGCAACCTCATGTGCAAGAACAGATAAACTTTTAAAATCTGTTGTCCAATGCTTTTCAAGCAAAACCCCTCATTTTTTCAATACCGTATCATCAGCTGATAAAACAAACAAAATATTTAATAATGCATGCAGACTCCACTGATTTGTTCCTTCCTAAAGCCACTTTTGCACCTTCTGGTTTGCGCATTTAGAAATTCTGTACTGCCTTGGACATCAAAAGCTAAATGCTAATCTTAAGGTATTTTTATAGAAACATGAGTTCTGAGTGAGTTCCACTGAATTCGGTGGAGTTATTGCAGATATCAACTGGAGAAAACAGGATGAAAGCATGGACTACAATATAAATTTCCAAGACAGTTAATTTTCTCTTCTAAGGAAGGAAAGTATTTGTAACAGAAAAGAAAGCCTTGCATAAAGGTAACAGGTTTGTTAGCTTCACAAAGCGAAGAAAAAAAAATGCCTCAAACTCTGAAGCAAGTTATACATGCTTTAAAACAGTAAAAATGCCAAGCAAGTGAATCTTCCTACCTTTGATCTGTACGAAGGCAAGTGCTAGTACTGATATCCATAGTGGTATTTGCGTCCCACCACCTGTGCCCATCTTCTGGAAGTCCGGTAGAAACTACCGAACAACCTGCCTCTGAGGAAATACCTGTCTGCTCCCAAGTCTTATATAGTGAGAGAGTAGGTTTTGGCTCAGTTCCCAGATCGTTTCACAAGGTTATTAAAAGGTGGGGCTTCAGACATTTTAGTTTTCCTTTGCAGGTGTACAGGTAAATAAAGGATGCTCTGACTTTCCCTAAGGTATTTGCACTCTAGGAGGAGTCCTCTTTCTACAGGTCTTTTTGATGAAATGTCAAGAAGTGAGCAGGAAGAATTTTTGCTCAGGCTTATCCTTCCCAAATTTTTATGTATTAGGGGATAAATACAATTTAAGGGACTTCTGAGTGACATTTGAGCAGGAGCTTGGAATGAATGAATTCACATTTTAAAATTTTCCTCCTTATGGTAAATGATGGCAATTTAATTTCTCAAAAAACCCAAGGAAGTTCTATCTGACACAGATTTTTTTAAATGAGTTTGCACCTGTCTATCTAGCTGCTTTGCCTGTGAAAATGGAGAAATCAAATGACGTCTAAGGTCAGCACTTATCCACAGGCCAGGCACAAAACAGAACTAGGTGAAAATCCTTCAGCATTGGAGAGTCAGTGATATGGACCTTTGTTTAAGGGATTCTTCTTCTCACTTAGGCATTTTTATTGCTACTTCTGCTCTTTCTCTTCTGAGTAATGAAGATTTCCCCATAACAAATTTGATTGAGTCTACCTGCAATAAAAAAAGTATGGATTTTCTTGGTGATTGCTGTTCCTAGAGACACAAAAAGACTGATTTGCAAGAACATGCCTTGGAATGTTCCTTATCTTAGGAACAATGAGA